CCTCATCTCATGGAGGTTAATGTCAGAAGTTGCTGGTCTCAGCCAAAGATCCCTGGGCTGTGTGTGTAGGAAAGGGAAGCCTAGGGAGGCTAAGCCACTGGAGTTACCCAGCCTGCCTGATGCCAGATGTCTATCTGGGGTGGTAGGACAGCCAGAGCCATGTGCAGGGACTCTGTAGCTGGCTGGTGCTTCTTAGTGCTGTATATTTGGAGGTGGAGTGTGGGGGGAGGAGGGGCAGGGCATCATCTCTGAGTTGTGCTATGAAAAGGCAGGTTTTGCCCTGGCTGTTGAGTATCACCAGTGCCTTCAGGAGATTGCTGTGGGGCTGGTTCTGCCTTCTGCATCTGAAGTTTGTGTGCTCTGAAGGTCCAATGTCTCTGACTGTAGCACCCACCACAGTGTGCCTCAAGGGAGCACAGACTCCCACTTGCGCCTCTCTGTTGGCTTCCCATTTTGACACCACATCACATTTTTCATGGGCTTGCAATTTCAATTCAGGGCCCTTCTTTGCTCTACTGCCCCCCAACTCCACACTCTGGCCAAACTTGGGTCATCTGTGACCAAACTCAGGTCTGAAAACCTTATCCAAGACTCTCCAAGCTGTGTTTGAGAGCTGGGGTCACTGTTCCCCTTAGTTTTAGTGGCACTTTAAAGCAGCTGTGCAGATTCTTGTTTCCTGCCTCTGTTAGGAGAGCTCACTGCATTACAGAAGCTGTCCACGGTGGTTCCTGTTAAGAGTTCAGCTTCTTGCTACGGGCTGGAGCAGGAGCCCTGGGCTCAGGCCTAGTGGGTCTGACACTGACTTGCTCTGCGGCCCACAGCTAGATGCAGTTCTTCCTGTGCCTCAGTTTCCCTCCCTCTGCAAGGGGAGTTAAAATCATTTTGCCCTCCTGTACTGCCTTCCAGCCAAGGATCCTGCAGCCTTTCACCTGCATTACCTGTGTGACAGGTGAACTTTGCACACCCCACTGCAGAGAGGAGTAGACTGGCAAAGATACGAAGGTTGGGCATTTGGCCTAGATCAACACAGGGAACAGAACTAGAGTTTCCTAGCTGTCAGCCCCATGCTGTAACCACTACACTATGCTTCCTGCTCTGCACACAGTGAGAAGGAAATGAGCTTTTGAGGAACTAGATACTGGGTCACAAAAAGGTCATGAGCACACTGTGATCCTATGGCTGCCACCAGAAGACTGCCTGGCAAAGGAGCTAGGCTGGCTCTGGCCCCTCCTTGCCTTGCTGCTGTGCAGCTCTTGAATTAAAGCACACAGACCTGCTGTGTTTACTGCAGCTCCTTCCTGAGGGAAGGAGGGGGCAAAGCAGCCTGTGACCCCAACATGGAGCTGGTGCTTCCATCCAGCCTGCTCCAGGGACTGCTCTGAGCTGCAGGTGCTGCGTGTGTTGTCCTTCCCTTCCAGCCGCTCCTGGCTGAGGCTGAATCATCAGCCTGAAGCCAGTTGTGAGCTGCTCTCTTTCTGGCTCACAGAGGGCCACAGGCCTGGCTTGCCTTGTTTCTTTCTGCAGACAAAAACACAGGCACCTGCATCCTTACCCCACCTGTGCGCTTGCACATGTGTGTTCATAGCCACGCACAGCTGGCTTCTGTGGACACCCGAGCGTGGCTGTCTGTGTTCGGACCCCTCAGCTCGTGCAGGTCAGCCAGGAGTGCTGGCCAGCCATTGCTGACCTGGGCTGGATTTGACCTGCATCCCAGGGCTAAGTGTTTCACACCCCAGGCCCAGCCCAGAGCCACTGGATTTGTTGTGGCCCTGGATGTTTAAGGCCACACACGTAAGCAAGGGCTCTGCACAATCTCTGCTAATGTCTAACTTCCACTCCTGTGTGCTGATGAGATTAGCTGCTGCTGGTCAGGGCTTACTGATCCACCTGCTGTACACAGGAGCACAGGTGCCAACATAAATGTTGACAGGCTGCCCTGTGACTCTGCATCAGCCCTAATTGCTAACTGCAGCCTGCAAGCCTGCCTCTCCTCCTCTAGCACCCGAGAAAAGGGTGCTTCCTCCTCCCTCCCATGCCCTGCAGTTCCCCAGCTAGTTTAGTTCTTGAGCAGGTTCTTCCTGTGGAGCAGAACGAGAGGATGAAGGACCCCAAATTCATCCTGCTTGAGATTTGTGCTGTAGTCTGAAGTCTGATTTGTGACAGCTGAGAGGTTGGTTCTGGGTAGGGTGACAGTGTCCTGGATTGGCCAGGACAGTCGCAGGTTTTGCAGGCTGTCTCGGCATCCCAGCCACTAGAGAAAATGTAAGCAAAAGTCCTGTATTGGTAGGAACCTGGGAGCTGCGGGGTTAGGGTATGTGTGTGCTTATGTGCACACCACGCTGTCCCACCCAGCCCTGCTCCTGGGAGCTGCGAGCTGAGGTGTGTGCATGCGTATGTGCATGCCTCTTGTTGCCCCTCACCCCTATCCCGGATTTACCTGAAATAATGTTGCTCCCCCTAGTCATGAGGAAACAAGGAGCAGATTTTAGCTTTCTTGAAACTACTCCCTAGATGGGCTTTTACAGACCTGGCAGGGTGAGGGCAGACGGTCTGCCTTGTGGCACCTCCCTGAGCTTCATGATATCTGTTTTGTCTCTTCTTCCTAGTGGGTGCTGGCATTCGAGATCTTTATACCCTTGGTGCTTTTCTTCATCCTCCTGGGGCTGCGGCAGAAGAAGCCCACCATCCCAGTGAAGGAAGGTGAGTGGGGGCAGGAGGCTGTGGGGAAGGAGCTGGGATGCTCTGGTTGGGGAAACCTCAGCTTTAAGGGGATTAACTGAGAGGGAAGAACCCAGGTGGCAAAAACCCATTTGTTGTCTCCATCATGCCTAGCTGAGCCTTCAAAGAGCCCTCAACTGGCCCAAGGCTCCCACATTGTGGGACCTGCTGGGCTTCTGACCGAGGCCAAGGTGCGAGGCCTTGTGACCTCCTGGGCTAAGACATGTTCAGTAGACTTGTTTGCCCAGTCTCCTCAGCAAGGCTCTGGGGCAGCTCTCCGATAGCAATGGGGGTGTCTGGACAGCAAGAAACGAGCAGTCTGTCTCCTCTTCCTATGTTGCCTTTCTGGAGTCGCTTCTTGCTGTGGTCCAGCCTGGGCCACGACTGCTCATCAGGGCAGCCTTTGAGGGGAGTCTGACACCTCTTATGCCCTAATTGGCACCATTGGACCTGACAGCTGATAGTCCCCTGGTATCCAGAGGTACAGTTCTCCCACAGTTCCCTGGGAAAAAAATGGCTCAGCTGACTGCATGGATGTTTCCCCTCCAGTCCCAGTGATGCACTTTGGGGAAGGGGTAGCCCTGTTGTGCAGCAGTTTTGTGGGGGCCCACTGGTCTGGCTGAGTGGCAAGGCTGCTGGCACCTGAGCCAGTGCCAGTCTCCTGCGTTAACTTGGACATGAAGCTATGCCTTAGTTCAATCCAGCCTGACTTTCAGTCCCTTTCCAATGATGGCCAAGCCGGCCACTCCAAGACCTTGGGGTGGACACTTTCAAGGATTCTTCCACTGCCCATGTGGGTAAGAGCTGCCATGGCCCCATTGGAAAGACAGCTCTAGCCAAGTCCCAGGTATGTGGGAATCAGCCTCTGGCTGGTAGGAAAGCAGCACTGCAAGGCAAGGCACCTTGGGAGCTACCCACAGTCTCTGGCCATCTCACTGGGGCCCTGGTGTATGGGGGCAGGCATTGCTGGGCCAGACACTGTTAGCAGTGGGGAGTGGACAAGCAAGTAGGAATAGTCACTGCTAAATGCAGGGCCAGGCAAAGACTTCCAGGATGGCAGAAAAGGGTGGGACAGGTAGCCCACATACCCTTTCCTGTCCCCTGCATGCAGCAACCCACCCTCTCCAGATCCATTCTCTCTGCATCCCCTGCTGACACCTGGGGTTACTTGGGGAAACCAAGTGGGGGCTTTGGATAGCATTTTGTTTTGGGGAAGGGCAGGGAGAAGCACGAAGAGCAAGGAGTGCAGGAGCAGAGGGGAAGCACCTAAGCATGTGTGAATGTGCTGCCCTGGGAGCAAAAATGCTGTGGTGCTGGGTAACGGTGATCTGAGCCTGTGTTTCAGCTATCCCTCGCACTGGGCTCCAGTGCTGCACGTGGAGGGGTTGTTGGCACCGACGACGAGGAGCGCCCCAATGCCATGCTGTCACCGTGGGTCTTCGAGCTGTGACTGTTCCCATTCTGGTCTCCCCACCTGACATACGCTCTTTTTGTTTGTTTCTTTGTTCTGTTTTGTTGTTTGTCTTACGCTCTCTTTCTTTTCCCCACCGTCACCCCCTGTCTTCCATGCTGCTACTGCATGCTCCAGTCTGTAAGTTGTTGATTTAGGTTGGCGCTTCCCCCTCCCCCACTGCCAATCCTGCCAGCAAAGTATTCTGGGAAACAGCAGCCACTGGCCCAGCTTTCTTGACTACTTTGATTAACACGCTGACTTACTCCCCTGCATTTGTCTCCTTGCCCAAGGGGGTGGGTAGGACTGGTGATGATGAGCATGTACAAGCATACCACAGCCACGCAAATGCAGGAAGACCCTGTATATGTGGTCTGCAGCCTATACTGTGCCATTGCTGCCATTGGATACTGACAACTTTCCCAGAATCCTCCAGTGCTGGCCTGATGGAGCTCATGGCTACAATGCTCTTTGGCTATCTCCTCATCCTCTTTCTTTTTCTTTATCTTGGACCCCTGTTATGTGGCCAGGCCTTGTCTGAAGTTTAACACTTGCTGAACCTGGCTGTGGCTGACTGGAGTTATGGCCGGGTTTGGTTTGGGCTGTGCTAGCATTAAAAGAGGAGGAGCTCCTGCCGTTCCAGCCGTGGAGGACAAGGAGCTGTCGTGGACCACTGCGCATGCAAGTCAAGGAGCAGCTGTGCCCTGTCCCAGCCTGCTCCCCCTTCCATTAACCCTTGAGGCACTCTTCTACCCAGGATCAGTATTTAAGCACCACCCACTCTCTCTGCCACACTTTTGTGTGTGTGAGTCTTGGGGCATATTGGCCAGAGCCCTTCCCATGGGTTTGTCTGTGCTGTGATGACAGCCACTAGGGTGACCCACAAAGAGCATAACTGTTTCCCACATATATGCAGCCCAGCTTGCACTTGCAGTCTTCACAACTGAAGCACATGCTGATAATGTCCAGAATCATGCTCTATGCAGGGCTTTGGGATGCTGGTAGATGCCACCTCCATGACCAGATTGTTTCAGCATGGTCCAATGTGGCTATAGCATGTGGATAGGCCCTGGTATAGATGGTCTGTGAGATGTATCCCAGAGAAGGAGAGCTGAGACGTGCAACCTTCATCTGTTTGTATGAATCTCTGGTTTATAGCATGACTTATCCCAGAGACTATCCCAACCCAATGCTCCCATGAGGGTTTTTACCAAGCATGGCTGTTCTGGATGTAAAGCCACAGGGTGCACACACTTGTATGTCTTGCCTGTTATTTCATGTGTGGTGGAAAGCCCCTTCCCATCAGACCCTTCTGGCTTGTCCTAGATGCCATATTACCATATTGATGTTTCCTAAATATGCTGGTGCTGCTACAGGCTGCTGACCAGACTAATTTGCTCCTTCCCACCAGAATCTCACTGAATCTACATCCTGCATTGGATAGCCTGGTTGAGGTTTGCCCCCAAAAGATGTGGGCCTGCATGAGCATCTTCACCAGTCCCTGCCTCTTTGCATTTCCATTAGGAACGCAGCCCTTTCTTCAGCCTTAGTTCCACTGTGGGTGGTGTCAAGGCCTGGGATTTGGGGAAGGTGGAATATCTGGTCTGCCCCAGTTCCCATGAACTAGAGTTACTGTTGTTGGCCTGATTCCAGCTCTAGCCTGTCATGAATGAAGTAAAACAGTGCTGACCCTATTTAAGGCAGTCTGGAAGGCCGTCTGAGGGGGAGGCTCTTCCCTTAGAAAGATTCTGCACCTAATGGGAATAAGGAGCGTAGCATTAAAATGAAAGCCTGGCCTAACGGATTCCTGGTTAATGCCCTAACAACTCTTCCACCACTCTTCTGCCTGTCTAATAGAAGGTGAACAATTTTCAGTGCTAATGCTTGCCAGGGGACTAAGCGAGCCGAGGGCTTCTGTACTCAGCCCTGACCCTGGCCCTGCTGTCTACAGCAGTGCAGTGATGGGGTCATGCTAACATCTCTGACTCACTGGGCCTGTTTAGTCCATCAAAACTGGCACACTAGGCCATGGTGGAAAGAAGTGCCAGCCAAGCCTAGCTGTGTCCCTGGGGGGCACTCAGTGTGCGTTATCAATGATTGTGGTGGGAAGCCGCTGCTTGCTAATGGCCTATGTTTAATCAGTACCCTCCCCCACCTGGGGCCCATTAGCACACACTCGGCAGCACATTTGTTCCGCTTCTTAAATTTGAAATATTGGGATTGTGCCGGGAACGGCAATTGCATGACGACGCTGGGACCTGGAGAGTGAGGCAGATGGGGATGCTCCCTCGGCACAGCCTTGCTGGGTGGGGTGGCTCTGGAGCCCTTGTGGGCATGGGGCAGAGGGCTGTATCTTTACCATACCTGCCTGATCAGTGGAGCTAGGGGGAAGGCTGCCTGTGAGAATATTCATCTAGGATACAGGTGCCTTGATTGATATTCTCAGCTCCCCTCTTCTCCAGGTCTCCCTCCCAGTTGCTTTTTTTTCCCCAACCTGCCTCAGTTTCTGCTTCTTATGAAAACTCCCGTGTTTTGTCTCCGCCAGCCGCAGACTGAGGGCCCTGGTGGGGGGACGTGGGGTGGCCCATTTGACAGGGTTTGGGGAGCTTTTAGTGCTGTTGGTTACTAGCCTGTTTCCTAACCCAGTGTCCCTGTTCCTCCTCCTCCTCCTCCTCCTCCTCCTCTCTGCAAATCAAACTGTGTCTGAGATTCACTAATGGGCTGATCAGAGCAGCCATTGGGTTTGCAGTTTCTGTAGGGCAAATGTCAGAAGTCATTCCACCAGCTTCCTTGTCCTCAGGGCTGGAATTGGTAGGCTGTATAAGTGCTTCGGGGAAGCAAAAGTGAATATGGGTCCCCACACACCTCTGTCTAGGAGTGTGATCACCTCTCTGGTGTGACCTGCTGTGCCATGCAGGGAAGATTGGTTCTGGTTTGGTGTGGGGAAGCAGGAAGTGGTCTGTGATGCCCAGAGGCCTGAAAAGCAATGAGACCAGAGAGCAGCCCCATAGGACAGCTAATGGAAGACCCTGCCAAAGGAAGTGGGGCTCCATGACCTCTGACCTTTACCCTCTGACCTCCTTTGACTCAATAGAGAAAACTTATTAGCCAATAACCATACTGATCTAGCACTCATGCTTCTCTCTTGAACTCGGTGTGTGTCTCCGTCTTCTTCCTACCTTGTCTCCCTATATCTTCCCTCTATGTCGTGCTGTGTCTCCCTCTCCAGCTTTCTACACAGCAGCCCCTCTCACCTCTGCTGGGATCCTGCCTGTGATGCAGTCCTTGTGTCCTGATGGGCAGAGAGATGAGTTTGGATTCCTCCAGTACTCCAACTCCACGTGAGTCCACCCCTTCTCTGCTTGTATTTTTTCCTTGGCCATGACTACCCCTCATGCATGCATGCACTGCCTAGCTATGGATTTAAACAGAAAATCTTTTAATACTTTGTGCTGTAGCAGACAAAGGAGAGTCAGCTTCATGGCTAAAGCATAAGACCCCAATATAACTTGTGTTGCCTGCTCTGCTGCTCACTTCCTATCCCCAGACCTCCGATGCAGTGAGGCTGCTGGCTCCCCCCCGACCCCCACCCCCATTTTGCAGAAGAGCTGTGAGGATTATTTGCTCAAAAGTCACTTTGAATCTCCCTGATGGAGATCCCTGCACAAATACCATGTATTATCAGGACCAAAAGCATTTTTAAACTTTGTTCTTTGCCCTCTCCTGGCATTGGCTGGTGGCATGCCTTTTCCTCTGAGGAGGTGAAAATATGCATCGCTTCTGTTTGCTGAATGTCAGGTTCGAGTTGGTTCTGTCTTCTGTTTCATGTTCACCATGACGGTGCCATGGCCTGTGGTCCCAGATGCTGCCTCAGTGCCTTGGCCTCCAGCCTTAATGGCCCCTCTGCTTTCCCACCTGGCTTGGTTTTGCTTTCTGAGCTTCTTTCCATTCTCAATCACTGGGGCTTTGGTTTGTCTCTAGACTAGGGTGAGAAGGGATCATCTCACCAAGTTTCACATTTGTGTCAGTCTCAAGTTGTGCGTCACAGCAGGGGAAGAGCAGGTTGTTTGTGGATGTGGCCTTCTGAGCATGAAATCTTGTCCACTGATGCTGATCTCATTGAACATTACAAATGGTCTTCCATTTGTTCCTGGCTGCATTTATCTGCTCTCTTCTCCCCTCCATACGCTTCCCTGCCCAGACCCCTGCCAGTCATTGAGCTATGATCCCCATTCAACCCATTCATCAGTATACCCCACTGGCTTTCCCCTTCCCCTGTATTCTGCAGGGGCTGCAGAGCTGAGCAGAGCACTGCTGCTCTGCTGGGGCACCGGGGAGGCCTGGGAGAACTATGCAAGGAGAGGGGCTGGCAGGCCAGTGCCCAGAGAGGGGACCCGGACAGCTGTCTGGCTTCGGGAGTCCCACTTGTCACTGCTGACTCAGGTCTGCTTGACTGAATGCAGATGAGGTTGCAAGCTGTTGCTGAATGAGTCACAGCATTCGCCTCGGGCCGACTCCAGCAGAGTGTAGAGGGCAGTCAGGAAGGGCTGAGCTGTACAACCGGGGGTGTGCAGTGAGCCAAGGACATCTGTCTGCCTCCTGGGGTAGTGGAACCTGCATCTGGTGGGGTGGGGAGACCCTGCTTCTCTCCTGTGGCTGACCACCCCTTCTTGAATATGGGAGAACAGGGAATCCCATCCAGCAACATGCACATGCTCCATTGCTCACCTTTTGTGGGGAGGGAGGAAGAAATCTTGCTTACTGACGCATGCTCCAGTGCCAGCCCTCTCACCTGGGTGCGTGTTTGCCTTCCTTCCTGGCACTTGTCAGCCTGGCTGCTTGCTGGCAGTGGTGCTGTGCCTCACGGTTCCTCACGCCAGCCTCCCTACTTGCCCTCAGGGTGACCCAGCTCCTGGAGAGGCTCAGTGAGGTGGTGGAGGAGAGCAACCTGTTTGACCCAGACCACCCAGGGCTGGAGGAGGAGCTGGAGTCCTTGCACCGTCGCCTAGAGTCGCTCAGCAGCAGCGAGCCCAGTTCCATGGAGACCCACTTCAGCAGTCAGGCAGGTAAGTGCAGGCTGCAGGTCCGGTCCCCCCATCTCTCCTGATGAAGCTGCCTGAGGCAAGCCAGGGACTTGGCTCCAGCAGTGGATGGGGAATACCTGGGAAATAACCACATTGCTGATAGCAAAGCCCTCAGGGCAAGAGGCCTGGTCCTCTGAATCCAGATCTGTGTCCACGTGTCTCTGAGCCTCCCTGCAGACCTGAGCATCAGAGCCAGGGATGAGGCTTGAGGCCATGTTTGACCATCAGCCAGAGATTGGTTGAGAGTGGAAGGGGCACTTGCACTCTAGGCATCCAGAGAATGTAACAGTGGAATATGTTCACATGCACACCCCGAGTGAGGCATTCGGGTGTATATGGGGCCAGAATCATCCACAGCTTTCAACCTGTGGAACCTACCAGTCCAGAGGAGAGCTGGGCCCCATGATACCTGCCATTGAGGTTTGTTATGGAAACAGCACCCTCCCTCCACCCCTAGCCCCAAATTACTAATTGCTTGGTGATGGGAGGAGAGAGGGCAGATTCAGTATCTTTTGGATGATGATGATGAATTGGGCATAGTAGCCCCAGCATTCTTGGGCATGGCTCTCCTTCCAGTTCAGTGGTGCTGTCTCTCTTCCCCAAGTCTGAGCAGCACCCTGTTGCAGCCACTGTCCGTCCCAGCTCCCTCGCCATGTGCTCCATAGAAGCCATGAGTCTCTAACCTGTTCCTCTCATTTCCCGTCAGCATCTGGCTTCACCTTGGGCTCTGCAGCAAAAGACAGGAACGAACTTCACCACTTCCTCACCCAGAATCTCTCCCTGCCCAATGAGACAGCCGAGCTGCTGATGGGCTCCAACGTCAACCTCAAGGAGGTACATGCCCATGCAGGGAACCCATCTCTGAAGAGTACCGCTGCAGTGCTAGAGCATGTGGAAGCCCTTGAGGCCCAGTCCGCCCGGGTGCTGGTCAGAGAGAGTTCCCTGAGTCTGCAAATGCTCAAACCGATCCCAATTGAGCCCTTTATCTGCACTGGCTAAGGCAGTGGTTGGCAGTGTCTTGTGGCGTAGGTCAGAATGGCCCAGCTGTGGTCCTAGGCAGGTCATTGCTAAGGCCTGTTTGCTGTCACTGCTTCTCCCTACTGCTGCCTCTTTCCACCGCCCAGATGTAGCATGGCCCAGGAAAGCTCCCATCCTCAGTGTGATGCAGGCAAAGCCCCAATTGCCGAATACCACTGTGGTCCCCCACCACTGAAAGTCCAGTGCTGCAGGCTGCATCTTGTGGTTCTGTGGGCTATAGGATGTTGACCCCTATGCGAAGCTGGTGAGAGGCAGTAGTGCGATACCTGTTCATAGATGTGTGAGGGTTGTGGGCACTGGAATGAGCAGGAGTTAGTTAATTTCTTGTTATTTGGTCAGAGTCTGTAACAAGGCTTGTCCTTCCCCATGGTGCTTGCAAGAGGAAACGGGTCAGGGAACCCCTCTTACACCTGGGAGAAATGAGGCACAGGGGGGCATGGCACTTATTTACCCAGCTAGCAACAGCTGGATCTCTGAGTGGAGGTGGCCAGGTGACCTGCATCATGTGACTACAGTGCTGTGGCTTGCTGTTGCTGGTTTGCCACCCCCACTAGACTGAACAACTGGTCATGGACTGACGGTGCAGGAGGGATGGTTCTGCAGCTGCTCTAGGAGAAGCAGCTGAAGTCCTGAGTAGAGGGAAGGGTCCCCACCAGTCTGGTCTGTGTAGCATAGGCCAGAGGACCTCACATGATAGATGCTTCTGGCTGGGCCAGGACCTGTCCTTAAGGAAAATGTGATGGAGAGCCCACCGCTTCCCTCTAGTTCCAAGGCTGATTACCCTCCCAGGGTTAAAATTTCATGCCTGCTTTCAGACTAGATTTCTCTGGATTCCAGATGATGGATTTCGTTCAGCCTTGTCTTGACTAGAGCCTTTGGCTTCAGAAATCTCTTCCCCTTGGAGGTCCTTGTAGACCACCATCAAATTTCCATGCTCTCCCCTTGCAGGTGTATCGCTTGTTTTTTGGCTCTTCTCCCTCCTCGGCAGAGGATGTCCATGAGAAGGAGCCATGGGACCGCTTCAGTGCTGGGGAGAAGATCCTCCAGCTGGAGGTGAGGAGGCCCCTGGCTATTTCCACCCTTCCCTGCATCTTGGGGTGGACAATGCACGAGCTCACTTTAGCTCCAAGGCCTCGTTGTTGGGTAAGGCAGGGGCTGCCTTCTCCAATCTACATCAGAGTGGGATCCAGGTGCCAGATCCAGCACTCCAGCCTTTTCCCTGCCCTGTGATGGCCTTTCTTCCTGCTTCTCCCTGAGCTCTCCTTGTACCTCACCTGTGGCTGGTTAAGAGCTGGAGGCTGAGGGAGCAGAGAAAGCTGCTTTTTCTGTTTTGACTGACTAGAGCTTTGGAGTTTGTGTCTGGCACGCGGGGTTTCTGTCCGTCAGCTCTGTCCCACCTCATCCTCTTCAGTGCCTGGTGGGGTCCTCTTCATTCCACAGCTGACCAGCCCTCTCCCTCGCCCCTTCCCCCTTTCTGTTGCAGGAGAGCCTCCTGGGTGGCTGGAGGAACCTGAAGGAGGGGCTGATTCACAGGGCCCTGCGGAACCACACGCGATCAATCCACAGGCAGGCCCTGCTGCACCTCCTGTCCCAGGCCCTGGGCCTTGTTGGTTCCCCCTCTGAGGCCTCTGACTCCTACAGCCCCCAGGCCTTTGTGAAGGAGATGGAGGTGAGGGGGTTCATGGAGGAGCATAAGGGAGGTAGTGTGGGGCCCAGCTCTGGTGTAATAGGGTTAGGAAGCACACAGCCCCACACTGGAGGGGAGGCACCCCCCAGTCCATTAATGGGATTTTGGCCAGGGGGGCTGCTACCCTCAGCTGTATCTTGGCCTGCTCTTTGGACTGAGTTTGGTGGCTCTCTGGATTCCCCATCTTGGCTCACGGCCAAGTGCAGAGAGTAAGTTGGTGACAGCACTAGGAATGGATCCCTTCTAGTGCCCTGCCCTATTTTCAGCCTGGTTTTTGGAAGCCATGCTAGTGTCCCACCCTGACCCAGGCTCTGGCAAAACCGGGGTTAATGATGCCTGCCTCCTGGGCAGGGGAAGATGATGTGCCTCCTCTCTCCCACAGAACATCCTTTTCACGCCGTCAGTGCTGGAGCAGCTGACCTGTGATCAGAACCAGGGGGAGCTGAGGCGGATCCTGACCATCCATGACAGCCAGCGGCCCTGGCTGCGGGGCTACCGGGCCTTGGTCTGCAATGGGAGTGCTGGCATCCGCAGGGAGCGCTTCGGCCAGCTGGCCGCAGAGCTCAAGGAGCAGCTGGACACACACGCAATCGCCACTAGGGTAAGTGCCTGTGGTGCCAGGGCTGCCTTCCTGGCTTCTCCTCCCCCTGGTTCCCATGTTGCTCCCCTGACATGCCTGGCACTGACAGGATTTGGAGGGGCAACTGAGACCCCATGACTTGAGGGAGTGGCTGACCCTGGCTTGGTGGGGGAGAGTTGCAGGGAAACCAGGCATCTCCACACAGGTGATTGGCCTGCTCTGGGGAGCACGAGAGGGGCAGTGGGTAAACTGGAGGCAGTGGAAGAAGGGGGTACACAGTTGTGCTGAGTTTTGATGGCCTGGGGGTAGTTTTTGCGTGGACTGTAGAGTGAGGATGGGGCAGGTACCCAGCCCTCTGCAGTCCCATCATATACACCTCTCTGAATTTCAAGTCTGTGGGCAGTGATAGCTGTTAGGTCCCCATCTCTGCCCTGGGGAGCCCTGCAGGCCACTAACCCCTCTCTCAACCTTGGTTTTGCAGCTGAAGCTGGACGAGGTGAACAGCACGGCTGCCCAACACCGGCTCCATGCCCTACTGGAGGACCTCATGGAGATGGAGAAGGTTCTCAAGGATGTGGACATCCTCTCGGCTCTGGCCAAGTTGCTGCCTAAGGGTGCCTGCGCCAGCAAAACTCCCCCACCTATAGCCAACAGCACCAGCTGGGGCGGGAACTCCACGGGCGGCACCAACTCCACCGTGGAGGAGGGTGAGGGCGAGCCAGTTGGGGAGAACCCCCAAGGCCAGTGCTCGGCCTTTGTGCAGCTCTGGGCAGGACTGCAGCCCATCCTGTGTGGGAACAACCGGTAAGACTTTGGCTCCCGAAAAGTCCTACAGACCTGGGCAGAGTAGGCGGGGATGGGGGCAGGGGGCACTATGGGAGCTGAGGTCTGGGTTGGCAGAGGACAGGATCAGAGCAAAGTGACTTGGCAGCAGTGGGTCTGGGACTGCCTGCAGCCTCCACCAGGATCTAGGCCACAGCCTGTTTGCCTGAGGAGCTGGGACCACTGGGAACCCACAGGGTCCAGCCTGTGGAGGGGCCTTTCCCATCTCCTAGTGTCCTGTTTGGCTCTACCTGAAGTTGGTGGGGATGGCAGGGGGCCCTATCCAATGGCAAGTCACTGTCCCCAGTGGTGGGAGGTCCTGCTCATCCCCATGGTCCAGGCAGGAGAGGTCACCTGGGGCCATGGACTGCGCTCCCCTCTCTGTAGTTTCCCCTCCAAAACTGGCTAAGGGAATCCTGCCCTGCTGTTGCCTTCACTAATACCTGTGCTGGGAGCCACCCACCCTGCCACTCCCTCCCCAGGGCTCACAAGCTTGACTCATGCCACTCTGCATCCTTACGTGTGCTGCCTCAGTGGGTCCTCACACCATGCCCACAGGTCCCTGCTGAGGGAGGGTTTCCATGTCACCCAGCCCTATTCTGGATGCACCAGTATTGTGAATTGGTGTGAAAGTTCCCTACTACCATGTCCCGCAAGGGATTGCCAAGCACTGGCTCCTTCCAGGCTGGGCTCTGCTCATGGTGTGCCCTGCCTGGCCCCTTCAGAGGAGAATCTGCAGTAAATGAGGAAACGTGTGCCCAGAAGGCTTGGGTGGCTGGGATGTGCTGAGTTCCCACAGGGAGGAGCTGGGTCTGCACCGTGTGGCTGCTTCTTGGGCATTGGCGCTGGGCTTAGAAGTGCAGGGCTGAACAGGGCTGACAGAGCAAGTCTCTAACTGTATCTCCAGCAATGCAGCTTGAAGCTTACAATAGCTGTGTCCAGGAGCCCCTGTACAGGGTGCGTTGCTGTGGGATGGCCAGCCCATCCTGGCCTTGGTGCCAGGACATTGCCTTTGTGTCTTTGAGTGAACAGCCCTTGCAGATCAGGACCCCATGAGCACTGGCAGTGTGTTTCAGGGCTCCCCCATAGACTGCCTGAAGCAGGACACCATGACCAAACCTTCAGCAAGTGACTGACTGTGACTTCTCCTCCAGGACAATTGAGCCTGAGGCACTGAAGCAGGGCAACATGAGCTCTCTGGGCTTCACCAGCAAGGAGCAGCGCAACCTGGGGCTCCTGGTACACCTCATGACCAGCAACCCCAAGATCCTCTACGCTCCAGTTGGGACAGAGGTGGACAAGGTCATCCTGAAGGTGAGGGCCTGGCTGGCCCAGGTAGCACCCTTAGGGCACCCTTAGCTGCAGGCTGCCAGCCTTGAAGCACCGTGTCTCTTGGGCCCTGTGAGGTCTCAGTCCTTTTAACGGGTGGGAAGCTTGCAGCTGTCCAGAGAAGATCTCATGGCAGGTGACAGTGTGGAAGTAGCTGTGTTTAATGGATGGTTCTTTCTCCAGTTCTTGGCTGTTCAGCTGTCCTGTCAGTCCCTGGGGGCCCGTTGATTTCTGCCATGTCAATAAATAATTAAGACTCTCAGTGCTGTAAACACAAGCCAGTGAGGGAAGGGGGCGGGCAGGGGAGGGATTCCCTTCCCTTCTCTTCCTGCAGCTGACAGGCTGTGATGTTGGGGCTGGAGGCAGAGTTCAGTACACCATCTACCAGCAGATGCAGGTGGCAGTGAGTGTGAGTGTTTCCAGCCCTGCCCCTGAGATTGCTGGCCCAGTCTGGGGTAGGTCTGTTCCATCTCTGGAGCACTGTTAATTTTCTCTGTGATTTTTCCCCCCATCAGTACCCCAACAGTCCCAGCCCTGCTAAGGTGAGCAGGAGGGTAGGTCCACAATGCCCAGCTCCCATCCCCTAGGCCTGACTTCCCCAAGGGGTAATTGTACCAGGGCAGGGTACATGGTAGTCACCAACTCCAACTCTGGCAGAGCAGCACCAAGACCTCATCTGTGATGGGGAAACTGCAGTGGTTTAAATAGGCTTGAAATGGCTCTAATGACACTGCAGGCTCCCAACTTAGCTATACTGAAGTCAGTTCAACCTTTGCTTGGGCTGGTCTGTTACCATCGATACTGTAGTAGGTAGCATCTGGAAGCCAGGACCAATGAGTACCAGGTGCTGTATGTGCACAGAAGGATAATAAAGACCTTGTTCTGGAGAGCATAGGGTGGAAAGACTAGTATGCAGCAGAAAGGATGGTCCAAGGCAGTGAGGAGGCAGTAAGACTGCTGTTAGCCAGTCACAGAAGACTGCATACGTGGCCCAGTAGACTGCAGAACAAAATCAACCTGACCTATTGTTAGATCAGTGTAAGGTCTTATCCTCACCTGAAAGTGAATTTGGATCGAGATTGGGCATGAGCTGAAGGTGCAGTAGTTCTACTGGAACAATCTGTGTGTGAATGACAGCATCTGCCCTGGGAATTTGATCTAACTTAGTATAAACAGGTCTGTTCTGTGCTGGCAGGGCTGGGAGAAGTTGCTTACGGGCTTACGTCTCCTCTCAATATAACCCTTCCTGGGGCCTCTCTTGCTGCAGGCCAACGAGACCTTTGCCTTCGTTGGGAACGTTACACACTATGCCAAGGTCTGGCTAAACATCTCCTCAGAGATCCGGGGCTTCCTAGAGGAGGGAAAGCTGCAGAGGCGGATCCGCTGGCTACAGCAGGTGTGGAGGATGTTGAGGGGGGTCTGGGGATGGGCCTGGAATGAGGCAGAAACATGGGCTAGACCACAGCATGGTAAGATCTGTGCAAGTGCCTGCAGGCGACTGGTTGCAGCCCTGGCTTCGAGCTTCCAGCTTCATCAAAGAAGTTTCTTGCGTTGGTAACTGCTGCCGCAACATGGCGAGTGTTTTACAAAGGGGGCTGCTCCCCCGGGGGACTTGTGTCAAAGCCATCTCTGTCCTAGATGCTGGATCCCACCCTGCAGACCTGCTCGTTGCTGCCGAGTGACAGGCAGCTTGACCAGCGTCTTGCTTTATATTGACCTCTCAAGACTGGGAGGGGACAGGATCTTAGCTGGATCCCATCCTGCTGTTGCTAAGGCTGACTGAATGCTTGCCCCGTGACCTGCTCGGCCCAGCTTGCCTGGTGCAAGGTGGGGCAGTGGGACCCTCGGCCACTTTGCACAAGAAGTAGCAGGAGGAGGCCGGGTGGAGGACACCCAGCTGTCTGCGTTACCTCACTTTTTCTCCTCTCACTTCCAGTTCACTGCTGACCTGCACAAACACCCTGAGATCCTGAACGTCTCGGACAATGACCTCCTCCGCAACTTCATTGATGGCAACTTCTCATTGCCCAATGCTAGTGCCCTGCTGCAGCAGCTGGACACCATCGACAATGCTGCCTGTGGCTGGATGCGTTTCATGTCCAAGGTGAGGGCAACACCAGCTCCCTAGAGCTAGGCTAAGCCTGCCAGGTGTCAGGCATACCCAGGAAAGCTGCTCTCTCTCTAGCCAGGCTCCTGTGGGCACTTGGCAATCGCCCTAGTTATCCAAGGGCATGGGCAAGCTAACATGTGCCTGGATGTAATTCACTGGTCATGGATATATAAATGACTGGGTAACAGGCATGTAAATTACATTGGGATCAGACGGATCAGGGGCACACAGTAGATGCTGTTATTACTTTGGCTGCCAGTAAGGTGCCATGCCAATGGGAAATGCAGGGCCGTGGCAGCAGGAAGCTTGGCTGCACGTAATGGCAGTGGAGTGTGGGTCATCCCCACTAGATGGCAGGGGGAGGAAGGGTTTGCCCTGGTTCCCCTGCAGAGCAGGGATCAGTCCAAGGTGCTAAGGCTGCAGCAGGATCTCATGGGACTTTTTTTTCCTGACAGGTCAGTGTGGACATCTTCAAGGGCTTCCCTGACGAGGAGAGCATAGTGAACTACACGCTGAACCAGGCATATCAGGACAATGTCACTGTCTTTGCCAGTAGGTCCCTGGCTCTGTGCTCTCCTTCTCTCTCTTCCTATCACCATTCACATGGCTTTGCTCATTTCCTCTGAATTCCCTTGTCAGCTTGCGTCTCTTCACCATTGCACTGATTCTCAAGCTCCCTCCAGCCTGATCCCAGGCAGGTTTTTGCCCCACTCTTCCAGATGTACAGAGCTGAATTTGGGCATTTCTGAGGCCTTGAGGCACAGAGAGGCCCTTTGGTCTTCAGCCTCTGCCACTGACTTGCTGGGGTGAGGAATGTCTCTGTGCCTCAGTTTCCCTATTTATAGAATGGTGAGGACCTAGGTGTGACCATGGGTCTTAATCCAGTGGCTCTTGCCAAGCTTTGAGAGCTGCTCCATATTCTGTCAAGTACCCATTCCTAGTGCCTCCTGTCTTGCTGAGGAGTCTGTCTCTTGCTGCATTGGGGGCCTGGTCCCAAATCTGTAGGTGTCAGCAGGGACTTCTGTTGATTTTAACCCTCCTTGGGTATTGCCCTGGCTGTCTTGAGCCATTCAAATAAGCAACCATGTTGCACCTTGGCCCTTGGAGGAACATGAGCCTGCTCCCCAGTGGTCTTCTCCCATCCCCATAAATACTGGGAGGGCCACCTGCTTGGTTTAGGTTAGAGATCAGAAAGCAATATTTTACAGTTAGGGTAGCCAAAATCTGGAACCAGCTTCTCAGGTAAGTGGTGCTCGCCCCTACCTTGGGCAAATTCAAGAGGAGGTTGGATAATCACCTGTCTGGGGTCTTGTGAACCCAGCATTCATTCCTGCCTGTGGCGGGGGTCAGGCTAGATGACCTGGTCAGGTCCCTCCTGACCCTAGCTGCTATGCAACTGACCATGGAGCTGGCTGGGATGAATTCCAGTGTCCTAAATGTCCTCAGCTCTGCTGCTTTCCCCTCAGGTGTCATCTTCCAGACCAACAAGGACGGCAGCCTCCCACCACATGTGATGTATAAGATCCGGCAGAACTCTAGCTTCACAGAGAAGACAAACGAGATCCGCCGGGCATACTGGCGGCCCGGCCCCAACACCGGTGGGCGCTTCTACTTCCTCTATGGTTTTGTGTGGATCCAGGGTGAGTAGACAGACCTGCTCCCTGACTGGGGCAAAGGCCAGCACAGCCTGCTACCTGGGTGTGCACTGCAACATCCACTACATGCTGCTCTGCTGAGTGATGATGCCCTGCTGTGTTAATGTAGCTTATCTCCTGGCCTCTTCTTCCCAGACATGATGGAGCGGGCCCTTATCAACACCTTTGTGGGCCATGACGTGGTGGAGCCTGGCAATTATGTGCAGATGTTTCCATACCCGTGCTACACCAGGGATGAGTGAGTAATGCTGGGTGAATAGGACAGACGTGATGGGCAAGGACAGGGCTGGGGTGCAGTGAGTAGAAAGACTCCTTTGCTCCAAGACAGGTGGCCCCTCTGGATAGTGCTCATAGGATCTCATGGAAACAGGCCTGGCATCTGCACTCCTTCCAGCCAAGCTGGCCCTGCTGCTTGCTCTCCTTATTATCCCATTGCTGGCTCCTTGCCCACTGCATCAATGCCGTACTATACAGCAAATGCCACCATGGCCTGGGCAAGGTGCAACATTCAGAGTATTGCAGGCTACAGTGGGGGTCTGGGAGCCAGGGCACCTGGGTTCTACTGGCCATCTCTCAGACCTGCTGTATGACCTTAGATACGCCAGTAACTCCCTCAGCATAGGTGAACTGTAGCAGGAATTATCTGGGCTTGTAAAGGAATTATCTGGGCATGGTGGCGATGCCTGATCTCTGCCCTGACATCCCAGAGTGGTTCTTGGGGCTGCGACAGAGGGAGGTGGACACGCTTGATGGTCATTCCAACTCGGCCTACTCTGATTCTTTCCCTTCCCCCCAGCGTGATGGTGCAAGGTCCCCGCTGTCTGTCGTCATGTGGCTGCCATCCTCTGTGGGTGCCAGGGTTCATGGTGTGTCAGGACGGGTTCTGATGCCTTGCTGCCTCTCTCCCCAGTTTCCTGTTTGTCATCGAGCACATGATGCCCTTGTGCATGGTGATCTCCTGGGTCTATTCGGTGGCTATGATGATCCAGCACATTGTGGCAGAGAAGGAGCATCGCCTGAAAGAGGTGGGGATGTGGCAGTGGGTTTTTCCTACCTCTGGGACCATGGCTGTCCACTGTGCCTACTGGGGAGGAAGGAGGGCAACTGGCAAAACATACAGTCACACAATGTGGGGGAAGGTGGGGTACTGCCTTGAAACCCATGCAGTAAATGGCATGGGGTGGGTTGTTGGGCTCTCCAGCAGTGTCCTGTGAGTCCTGGCAAGCTGGTCTCTGCACCCCTGTTGCCACCTTGCAGTGAAAGAATCTATGTCCCCAAAATATTTCCACATCTAGCCCATTGTTGCTGCCTGGCGGTGGTGGGATGGTCTGTTGTCCTGAACACAGGGGTTAGTACTGGGGGCCATTTTCCCATTACGATGTCTGAGGGAGGGAAAGGGCTGTGGGCCCTGGACAAAACATAACAGGGAAAACCTGCAGCTGGACTCTCCTTTCCTGGTGTAAACCAGGTGTGATGCTGTTGAAGCTGGTGTAAAATGGATGCCAGCAAGAGTGAGTGCAGATCTATTATCTGTGGTCTCAGAACCAGGGCGTGGGGGAACACTGGTCCAGATTCTTCCCCAAAGTTAACTCCTTCAGAGCTGGTGAGAGACTACCAGGGGTGGATCTGTCTCTTGCGCTGTGCCCTGTAGTCACCAGGGTTACTGCAGTGCCCAGGGGTTTGTCAAACAAACATCCTCCCTGGTATTGCTCTAGAGCTCTGCAACTGCTCTTCGGGGTCATCTGGGCTTAACGGTGCCTGCAGGGTCAGTTTTTGCCATCTCTGGGTTGCCTGTACAATAGCAGCCCAGAACAGCAGTGAAGTGGCCCTGAGCCCTAATCTCTAGAGCACCTTGGCTGTCTGGGAGTGGTGGGATCTCTTCTCTCTGCTGCTCAGAGCAGCCCTGACTGACCAGGGGCATAGGTTAGATGAGCTGCTTGGGTCTGCAGTCTGGATGCCTAGGATTCTACGTCCATCCTCCCTGCCCTGCTGCTGCCCCCATCGCCTCGTAGCTGTTGCCAGAGAACATCGGTGTTTCATTCATTGGCTGGTGTTGGCTCTTCAGCCTTAAGCCTGCCTGTGGGAGCTTGCAGGGAAGAGGTTCCAGTGGCTAATGAGCATGACGAAGCTGCTGCAGCATGATGCCAGGAGGAGCTGGCAGTAAATCTCTGGGAGGGCAGCGCTGTCTTGTCTCTGCCAAGCGCATCAGAGGCAGGATGCTGAGGAGGGCTTTCCCCTTCTGCTGCTGGAACACTCCACTGAGCAAAGTGGATACATCTGGATGGCTGGACAGTTTGTGGGAAAGGCTCTCGTGCAGCTTCTGCTCCCCAGACTTGTCTCCTGAGCACGAGTGCCACAGATCCGGGAGAAACCATACCCCCAGTGAAACCATCTGTGCCAAGACTAGCCAAATGCACTGTCCTATGACAGGGTGCTACCAGCATGGGGCATGGCTGTTTGGCGGAGGAGACCATGCCAGGACCCCACTAGCTACCCTCAGAAGTAGCTGCTGCTGCTTCCCTCAGCCTGGTCTGGCCTGCTCTTGCCTGCAGTGGACTTGGCAGAGCTTCTGGCAGCACATGGCAGGTACCAGGGCCAAGCCACCAGAACACATACATCTCCATGCTTCTGGTGGTACCAGATTCGCACACTGTAGGATGGTCAAGCTTCCCTCAGGAGATTGGGAAAGCAGCAGCATTCTCTCCCCATGGTGCACCTCTTTTGTACTCACTCCAGCTCTTGTGGGTCCATGCTGATGGTTTTCGAATGCTTGTTGTAGCTGCCATGGTTGCCTTCTCTGCTCCGAGCATGGATTCTGAAGGGCTGTCTGGTATGATCAGATCTCTTCTTGCCATGAAGCAGGCTGGGTGTTTCGGTGCCACCTGAAGGATAGGGCGGCAGCAGTGCTGGGCCACCTTGGACAAACAGCTAATGCCTTGGCATGGCTGGCTGTGGAGCAAGTCTTAGTCTGAGCATTAGGTACTCTTTCTGTGCACAGGACACTTGTATGGACTGGGGGGAAGGAATCCAATTATTCGTTCTGGGCTGATCAACATGGGCAGCAGAACCCTACTTAGATTTGTGCAGGGCATTGGGTACAGAGCTGCCACCTTGGTCCCAGGTTCCAGTCAGCACAAAGCCAAGGCATCGTGGCACCCTGTGTCTGGGGAAGTAGTCCCACTAGTGGGATAGGGGTCTGTCGTATGGAAATAACCCTTGCTGCCATATGCCCTGATAAAGCATGACACTGTCTTTTGCAGGTGATGAAGATGATGGGCTTAAACAATGCAGTGCACTGGGTGGCCTGGTTTATCACTGGCTTTGTCCAGCTGTCTATCTCTGTCACAGCACTCACCGCTATTCTCAAGTATGGCAAAGTCCTGATGCACAGTGATGTCTTCATCATCTGGCTCTTCCTGGCCATCTATGCTGTGGCTACCATCATGTTCTGGTGAGCTCTGGTGGCTGGTCAGGGCCAAAATTTGACAGTCTGGGGTTGTAGCTGTTGGGCTGATGAAGCAGGGGGGCCAGGCATCTAGAGACATGCTACATGAGGCACAGCCAGCACTGGCCTTTCGCTCTGGGGAGGCAGTAGAGCTGATGTTGATGCTGCCTGACCCTGGAGAGTTTTGGGGCCAAGAGTGTCTGAAGGTGGCAGAGTGGGATTAACCAGGGGTTATAACCATACAGGGCTACCCAGGGTCGTTCTCAGTGGGTCCCATGATGATGTACACAGCAACAAGGGATCATGGAGCAACAACTAGAACCTTTCCCTGGTACAAGAATCCTAAGGCTCTGACCCCAGCAGCAGAACTAGGAAACAATTAGCAAATACTTTCCCCACCTGCATATGCACCCAGCGATGGGGTGGACTGTCTCACAGCTGGCGGTGGAACAGACAGGCTGGGAGCCTGAAGATGTCATTCCCTTCATTTCCATGGAGTTCTTCCTGACTTACCCCCATGTAACTGGAGGAGACCCCTGCTCCACATGCGTGGTTAAAGAACACTGGCCACTTGTTTAGTTGGCCTTAATGAGCAACCGAGGGTATCGATGGGGCGAGCACGAGTCTTGTGTGATGGACAAGGCTGTTGTATTCCTGTGCCGCATGTGGGTGCACTTGGAAGAATGCAGATGTCTGCAGGATGTGGGGGGTGTGGGTAGGCTGACACTCTTGCCAGGGCTGAGGATTGCAAGGAAGCAATCTCCATTTGTGCTTCTGGTTAGAACATGCGGAGCCCTTCAGATGCCATTGCCAAAGCTGAGGTCGGCAAAGTTTTTTAGCTGAGCTGCCAGAAAAACCCGGCAAGCTGGACTTGGTGTGCCAGGGAAGAAAGAGGGGGAGCTGCAAGGGGCCCAATTCTTTTGATAGTGCAGTCCTGGCCCCTTCCCCACTATGCTTCCTGAGGTGTGCAGTTGCAGTGCCTCTGGCCCCTTTCCAGCCTTGCATCCCAAGGCACATGTGCAACCACTGTTGGCCACAGAGTTGGGCCAGGGCTCCAGACCCTGGTGCACCATTTGCAGCCTCCCAGCTACCTGCCACATCTGGCCCACACTCTGGGCAGTTGCTGCTTGCCACAGATCCCAGGCTGCTTGCAGCCTTCCCACCACCTCCTGTGAGCAGCCCAAGCTCCATGGCTGGTGGCAGCTGCCCTGAGCCTGAGCTGGCTGTGGTATGCCAAGCAAAATGGCCTTGTGTGCCATGCCGTAGCATGTGTGCCAGGGGTTACCAACCCCTGGCCTAGAGGAAGGCAAAGGAAGGACAGGAGGCAACCCTCTCAATGCACCTTCCCTACTCCACCCTTGCTCATTGCACTCCTTTTGTAATTCCTATCAGTATTTGCCCTGGGATGGTTTCCATGGAAACTTTAGGATGGGGAGGGATAGAGTATCAGGACCTGGTAGTGATGAGGTGAGCTGCCATTGTACAGTTTGTGTCCGGTGCTATTGCCAGGGGCAGGGATCTGTCTTGCACACACATCGGGGTCCCTTGTGAGTCCTAGGCTCAGCCAAGGGGCTGGGAGCTGAATGGCCCATGGGGACTAAACTGCCCAGGTGTCTCCAGGGCATCAGACTTGTAGGGACGGAAGGGATGTCCTTGTTCTTAAACCATCCCAGACAGACATCTCTCCATCCACCTCTAGAAAGCCCCCCAGTGAAAGAGATCCCCTAGCTTCTCTCAGCTTGTTTCCCGAGGTTCTGTCCAGGGCTGGGTGAGTGCACCTTGCTCTACTACTCCATGCTGTGCCTGTTGTGTAGCTAACTGGAGAGTTTCAAGGCCATCAAAGTAAGACTGAAGACTAACTATCCTTTCTTCCACCCAATCCCTTGAAGCCCAGGTAGGGCCTGGGAAGGGGGCATCACCTGGGGAAGTTGGGTGGTGTGGAAGAGCCCAATGTCCTTTCTCTCTGGGGCAGCTGAGATAACAATGTCTTTCCTGGCAGCTTCCTGGTGTCTGTGCTGTACTCCAAGGCCAAGCTAGCCTCTGCCTGCGGGGGCATCATCTACTTCTTGAGCTACGTCCCCTACATGTATGTTGCCATCCGGGAGGAAGTGGCTCATGACAAGATCACAGCCTTTGAGAAGTGCATTGCAGTGAGTACCAGGCTGTCATGGTGGCTCATAAACTCCCCATGGAGCCCAGGCTCCGTGAGGTGGGTATAGAGGCAGTGCTCTCCATGCCTGCTCTCTCCATCCAGTGGGAGATCAGCTGTGCCGTGCACCCCAAGGCCTATAGCTGTCTCTTGGCCAATTAGAGAGCTTGGTCTGTTCCTCCAGCCCCAGTCACTGGAGTAATCGGAGACCCCCAGGGAGTGGGCTGCACAGTAGCTAGTGGGCAGAGAACTTGGAAGACCCAGGGGCTCATGACTGTAGATTCCCATGTGTTGAGACCTGGGAGCTGTCAGGGAAGGTCTTGGGGGCATCCCCAAAGTTTGGCCTATATCCAAAGAAGCGCAAAGCATTGTAGTAAGCCTCTTCCCGTTTGGTTGAGGTGGTATCCTGGGCCTCGTTAACACCAAACCCCACACTTCTTCCCTGTGTTCCACAGGTTGTGTAGGAAACCTGGCTCTCTTCAGTAGGACGTAGCCCCTTGTGAACCACTCCTTGGCCCCTCACATTTTTCTCATCTTAAGTCCAGCTGTGAATTGCTAAGGTCCCATGTATAGACAGCAGCGCTGTCTCCGTTCTCCCTGCCACACAGCACCAGTCTGTGGTTTCTGTGCAGGGTTGAGGTGACGAGCTTTTGAGCTAATGTCCTCCTTATCTTCTCCCCTCAGTCCCTCATGTCGACCACAGCCTTTGGGCTGGGCTCCAAGTACTTTGCTCTGTACGAAGTGGCTGGTGTGGGCATCCAGTGGCACACCTTCAGCCAGTCTCCTGTGGAAGGTGATGACTTCAACCTGCTGCTGTCCATGATGATGCTGATCATTGACGCCGTGGTGTATGGAGTGCTGACATGGTACATTGAAGCAGTGCACCCAGGTATGGGCAGGGACTCCCCCTGCAGGAAGAGGCTTGTGGCTACCCAGCTATGAGCAAGATGTAGAGATGCTGCTAGAATCACTGGACCTACCTTCTAGCAGCCTCCTTCGATGGATATGAGCACAGAGGAGGCTGATTCTGGTCATGATGGGCGGGACTGTACTCACTTGTGCAGTTGCGTAGGATCTCTGTGCAAATGTGCCCCACAGGTGACAGTGCCTTTTTGTGGTGCTCTCCTAGTGGTGCAGCTCAGGTTTTCAGGAAGAAGTAATTTATTGGTTTTCTGGCTGAATTGTAACATAAGATTCCTGTTTCAGGTTCAGCAAAATGTTTCAGGTTCTTATTTTTCCTTCCTTCCTTCCCCACAGATGAAATTTGGGTAAATTCCAAATATAACCTTGAGATGTTTGGGCTCTTTAAATGCACATGGATTTTTTGTTGTTGTTGAAACAGTATGACAAATTTGACAAAAATTCAGTTTTCAGTCACTCCAGATATGTTTTTGGGGGGTTGAGGAGAGGAATAGGCATCTTCTACCTAAAATCTGTTGTCCAGATCTGCGTATAATGCCTCTTGGCCACCTCACAATGTGCTGTTCTTTCAGTCGTGGTTCTGAAAGAGCAGCACACCTCTAATCTTCCGGGCTTGGTTTTCCTTGCAGGCATGTATGGCCTGCCCCGGCCCTGGTACTTCCCCTTCCAGAAGTCTTACTGGCTCGGAAATGGACGGATTGAAACCTGGGAATGTACCTGGCCCTGGTCACGAACTACCCGCCTTAGCATCATGGAGGAGGATCAAGCCTGTGCAATGGAGAACAGGAGACTGGGTAAGCATGGCCGTAGGGGGAGCAGAACCTGGGATGGAGGTTGGTTCCAGTGGTGAAAATGTGGTCAGAGACCCCAGGATCTGTCCCTAACTTTGCCACTGTGTTGCTGGCTAATGCTGGCCAAGTCACTTCATCTCCCTGTACTCTCTGGTTTCACCTCCTTGGCTTCTGTTTCCCTGAATGGGTGGCTGTTAGGAGACCCCTTTACTACAGAGGTGGCATGAGGCCCTAAGAGACCTTCTGACAGAAGGCAGCAGAGAATGGAGTGGATCCAGTGAAGGGCAAGAGAGAACACAAAGGGGGGAAAAGATGACTTTCAGCAGGAAGAGCGATTAGGGCCATATCCCCAGCTGGTGTAATCCAGCATCACTTCAGCAGTGTTTTGGGACTGGATTAGCTGGAGGTAGAGACAGAAGAAGGGAGAGGATGTTGGCTGTAGGATGGGGGACAAAAGAGAAGGTGATGAGCAGGGGGAGCTGGGAGCCTGGTTGAGTGAGATGGAGACAGAGACTAGGTCAAGGCTGCAAATTTTCTCCAAGCTGGTGCCTGCTGCTGCCTTTGTTCTTTCCTGGGATTCAGCCCCTCATTTTTAATTTCCTGAATGGCTTTGTTTAAGGCTGTGCCATCACTTGGCATTACTAATGCCATCCTAGCCATTTTCCACCTGGCCAGGGCTCCTGCAGCCCTGTGACCATCTGCTGGATCTCCAGGTGGGCACATCCCTCAGGAAGTCACTCAGTCCTTTCCTCAGTACCCTGTTACCCGAGGGGAGAGGCTGGTGGAGCCAGAGCTGCTTGCTGGCCAGTCCTGAAGAGCTGGGACAGCCCACCCAAACCCCACTCTTCAACTCTCATTGCAGATGAGACCCGAGGCATTGAGGAGGAGCCGAACCACCTGCCCTTGGTCGTCTGCATTGACAAGCTCACCAAGGTCTACAAAACAGACAAGAAGCTGGCACTGAACAAGCTGAGTCTGAACCTCTATGAGAACCAAGTGGTGTCCTTCCTGGGGCACAATGGGGCAGGCAAGACCACCACCATGTGAGTCACCATGGGGATACCCCTTTTTTTATTTCCTCACTGCCTGCTGTGAGGAAGAGATGATGGGCAGCGGTGGAATGAGAGGTGCAGTTGTCCCATCTTGCCTGTCTGGCTTGTTCCAGTTGCTAAAACTCTGGGCTTCAGCAAATTGTCACCCTGGCTTGCTTGGAGGTCCTTAGTCCCAGGAGTCCCCAGTGGCTCTGTGCCAGCCAGAGGCCTTGTCTCCTACACCAGAGCCAGAGATGGGAGCTCAGGCACCCAGGTGTTACAGTCCAGGTGCTTTCAGCAGCTGTTGTTGAACAAGCTCGTGTTCAGATCCTGGAACTCTTGTTGCCAGACACAGCCATTGTGTGTCTGAGGGTGGAGGCCTGGGAGCATGTCAGAGGTGTGAGAGCTTCTGGCAAAGTTGAATGCCTGGGGGAGGCTTGGCAGGAGGGAGGTGCCATTCTAACATAGCAGCAGCTGGGGATGGGGAGAAGGTCTTGGAGGGTGAGTCTTGTAATAAGCTGGGGCATGGAGGTGCTGGGTAGTGCTGGATAGAGCTGTTGCCCGGGGTGATCCTGCCAGGGTCCCTTTTTAGGGGCTGTCTGCAATGGCCCTGTGCTAGGCAGGCACCAATTTGTTATGAAGAGGAAGGCATCAGGAGGCGGAGCCCCCTCACATTGTCATTTCCCTGCCAGGTCCATCTTGACAGGCCTCTTTCCACCAACCTCGGGCTCTGCCACTATCTATGGCCACGACATCCGGACAGAGATGGATGAGATCCGGAAGAACTTGGGCATGTGTCCGCAGCACAACGTGCTCTTTGACAAGCTGACAGTGGAGGAGCACCTCTGGTTCTACTCACAGCTCAAGAGCATGGCAGAAGAGGAGATCCGCAAGGAGATGGATAAGTAGGGTCCTAGGCTGTAAACAAGTCCTCAGGCTGTCTTGCTCTGAATGGCTTGGTATGAGCAGGTCTTGTGCCCTGTAAGCAGGGCCCCATGAACTCTGAGCCAAGCATTTGCAGGATGGCCAGTGATGCATTGGATTCACCATCCAAAGAGACTAAAAGGGCCCCAGTTTTCTGAGAGCAGGTCCTCGGCACTTCCCTGGCCACTGTAGAAACTCGTGGACTTGGGTAGTAAAAGCTGAAGCTGTCATTCCAGCCTCTGTGGTTGCAAAGAAAGCATTTCCAAGTAGCATGCCCAATGCATCTCTGCCTGCAGAGAGTCTGAAATAGTAGCTGCTAAGCCACGTGTGCTGTCCTGTTCATGAAACAGAGTTGTTGGCCCACGCTTTTGCTAGTGTGCCAGACCCCTCAGCCTTGCCCAGGCAGGAGCACTTGTCCTGTAGCGCCATGTGGCCTGCTGGGCTGTGATGCATATTGTGTCTGTCCACAGGATGATCGAAGACCTGGAGCTGTCCAATAAGCGGCACTCGCTGGTGCAGACGCTCTCTGGGGGGATGAAGAGGAAGCTCTCGGTAGCCATTGCCTTTGTGGGGGGTTCACGGGCTGTCATCTTGGATGAGCCCACAGCCGGTGTGGACCCGTATGCACGCAGGGCCATCTGGGATCTGATCCTCAAATACAAACCAGGTGGGCAAACCCCAGAGTGCCCAGCAGATTGAGCTTTATCAGCCACTCCAGGTTGCACCCTGCCCCAATCCAAGCTTCTTTTATTGTTGCCTTGGCAAACAAAGCCTGTGCTCCCCTGAATGCCTGGGAGAGGAATACCTCAGTCAGGCCATTTGCCTGGAGGAAGAAGGAAAAAAATAGGGACTGGAGTTTGTGTCCTTCTGACATGAAGATGTAACCAAATGGTGTCAAGTGGACAGATGCGGTGGGCAGGGGGAGCTCAGGATGGGGAGTTGGGATATCTCTGTTCTGTTCAGGCCCCTGCTGCTGGTTCTTATCTGAGACGAGTCCTTCCCCACCTTTGTGTCTGTTTCCTCCCCATCAGCCTTTCCTCACCTGGATGAAACATGCTGAGTCCCTTGGTTGAAAAGGCTGTGGGAGGGGAGAGTGTTGCGGTTGTCTGCCTGTGTGGAAAGATCTCTGAGGCCCATGTCCAGTATCACGCTGCTTGGCAGGGCAGTGTTGTCTGAGGGCAGCAGCAGTCAGCCAGGTGCTGTGCAGGCTGCTCTTACCTTCCCAGAGCCGTCTTCCCTCAATGCACCTCCTGCCCCTGCTCACCTCTCTCTGATGCCCCTCATATGTGCGTCTCTCTGGCCTTGCAGGAAGGACCATCCTCCTCTCCACACACCACATGGATGAGGCTGATCTGCTGGGGGACCGCATTGCCATCATTTCCCATGGCAAGCTGAAGTGCTGTGGCTCCCCACTCTTCCTCAAGAGCACCTATGGGGATGGCTACAAGCTGACGGTGGTCAAAAGGCAGTCAGATACCCGGAATAGCACAGGTGTGTGTACAAGTAAGTCCCATCTGGCTGACCCAGGGGAAGCCACTGTTGGCGACCAGTTCAGCTGAACTGGGAGAATCCATCTGCTTTGCTGCTCAAGTAACACTGAAAATCTGGACATTTTACATCTCACTACCTGCACAGGGATATCGTATCTGCCATCTGACAGCATTGCCTTGTCCCCTCTGTGCGCAGATTGGCTCGGGGGCTTGGTAAAATCCTGCGTGGAGCTGTCTGCCTGCAGGACGCTGGTTTCAATTCAGGCCAGGCTGGAAGCATCCAAAGATGATTCATTGGTTAACAAGTGTCTGAGTAATGGAACGAGCTCCACTTACTGGAAGTTCCTGCAGTGGCCAAAAGTTAAATGCGTAGCAGAAGCGAAACCCCCCTCTTAGCTGTAGTTAGGGACACTCCAGCACAAGGCAGTGTAGGGGCAGCTCACTGCGTTCTGTGTGCGTGAAAGGCTGCACTCCCCTGCACCAAGACCCTGCCCTCCCTCCCTCCCTGAATTCAGAATTAACAAAAAGTGCAGCAGCTTGTACATCCCAGAAGGTAACATTTTGAGGGCCCAGTAGGACATACTTACCAAGTGACCTATTCTTCTTTGGGCTAGATGCGGGACAGACTCACAGCCCTCCATCCCACTCTTCAGTCAGCCCATGCTCCGAGCCCCGGGTCTCCCAATTCATCAAAAAGTATGTTGCCTCCTGCTTGCTGATCTCGGACACCAACACAGAGCTCTCCTACATCCTTCCCAGTGAGGCTGTCAAGAAAGGCTGCTTTGAGAGGCTTTTCCAGGTATCAAACCTTCGCCCAGATGCTGGTCCAGGTGCTAGCAGAGCAGGGGAACACTGGTGGGGCAGAGTGCAGTGGTCCGACTGGGATGTGGAGCTTATTTTCAGTTCTAAAAGAACAGTGTGGAGATGCTTTCTGTCTGCTTGATTCCCCTGAGTCATAGGGTAGACGCACATTTAGTCTGTTGTACACATCCTTCATGGACAACACTACCTCTGATTTGTACATGCTGGATTTGTATGTTGCAGCACCGGCTGTGGGCGCAGCACTGAATTGTGTGTCGGGGTGGAATATTCTGAGGTGCTAAAGGGATTTGGGTGCCTGATTTGTTAAGGGTTTTGCTCTTAGAGTAGACATAGCCCTTACTGAGTGCCATGGCCTTCAGCATGGAGCATCCCCCACATCATGCACTCTAAGCTGTTTATGGCTCAGTTTCCAGCACACTCTTGCCTACTCCTGGGCTTTTCTGGTCTGCTGTCAGCTTGCATTGCTGTAGCAGATGCCTCCAGAGCCACACAGGGCACCAGGCCACTAGGACAGCTGCTACAGCATGCTCTTCTTCCCTTCAGGTTTCTTGGGTGGCTTTGGGGGCTTTCTTCTTCCTGTGAGCAGGCAGCAGAAACCCTTCCCCAGGGTAACTGCTATAGCTCCATGGCTGTGGGCAAACTGCAGTGGATGGTGAGTTGGGGCCGAGCACCCCTGGGAATGAGACTTCCTGCAGCCATAACTACAGGCAACTGTCAGTGCCTCCTGTCTCATATGAACTCACGGGGGACAAGAGTCTGTGACAGCTCTAGCTAGGGATCTGGGCTCAGCCTTCAGCAGTTTTGAAGGTCTGCAGTGCATCAGTCCAGGTGCTGGCAACTGTCAGACATGTGGCCGTCCTGTCTGTGGTAGCTGGGCAGTGGGGGAGGCCATCTTTATTCAGGGGGCTGGGACGCTGGGCACTGGGACTTGTCTATGCATAACCTGAAAGAACAGCTCTTTGCCATGGGCTTCTTCATCTTCTCATTGGGAGCTATCGCTGTTTGCAGCACCTGGAACAGAGCTTGGATGAGCTGGATCTGACCAGCTTTGGGCTGATGGACACGACCCTGGAAGAGGTCTTCTTGAAGGTCTCCGAGGAGGACCAGTCCTTGGAGAACAGTGATATTGGTAAGGAGTCTGCATAAAGGGCAGGGGCAGGGTTTGTGTTTGGCAGTGTCTATATATGCCGGCAGGTGAAGGATTTGCTCAGTCTCCTGTCTAGTAGGAAATTCTCTACTGGTAGGAAGCTTTGTTAAGAGTGTACTGTTTGTGAAAGCCTTCCATCTGGCTTGGCCAGCACTAGAGTGCAGGAGCAGGGGAGGTCATGGGACCCAGGAAATCTTGGTAGGGTTTTGGTGTCCTGGGATGGCAGGGTCCTTAAGGAAGAGCTCCTTTCCCCCTCTAAAACACACATTCAGTTCAGGCTTGGGTCTGGCCCCTGTGATCCATGCAGCTGGCAATCACGTAGGCGGCCCATCTCGGGGCCAAACCATTGTTCCTGCCTGAGAGCAAGGGCAATGTCCATGGAAGAATGCTTTGCCTCAGGATGGATGGCTCTTGATGCTCCTGTACCAACCCACCTTCTCCTTGCAGATGTGAAGGAGTCCAAGAAGGATGCCCTGCAGCCACCAGCTCCCCCAACGGGCCTGAAGCCTGAGGCCAATGGAGAGCCCCTTCCTGAAGTGGAGGCACCTGAGAAGCCAGACGTGGAGCTCAGCAACCTGGTGGCCTGCTCCAAGCTGGCCCAGTCCCAGGCGTCCCTGCGCTCGGCTTCCTCTGTGGGCTCCGTGCGGGGTGATGAAGGTGGGGCTTATTCGGAGTTCTATGGGGATTACTCTCCGTTGTTTGATAATCTGCAGGACCCTGATAACATCAGTCTGCAAGGTTTGTAACACACTGCATGGCAGGCCTTGAATTCGCTAGTGGGGTAGGCTTGGCCCGCTCGGCTGGGCAGCAGGTGCTTTGCTCTTGCTCCGCTCTCGGCTCCTGTGTGGGACAGGCAAGGGGGCAGCTGCTACCAGCTCCAGTTGGTCTTTGCCATCCCCCCAAACCAGCTTTCTTGTCCCCAGCGTGGGTTCAGGGAGAAAGTTTGCAGCCTGTGCATGGGGGATAGTCAGTCAAACCTCTGCATGCCGGAATCTGTCTCTTCCACCCTGCAGTCCCGTTCTTCAACAGCAACATGCCCAGAGGTGCCCTCACTAGCTGTGATGAGAGGGAGAGTGAGCACTAGCCCCTGAGCATTGGTGGGTTCCTTAGGAGCAGGAACCCACTCAGATGGAAAAGCCGCAGGTTTAGGGGCCAGCAGGAGCTCTGAGAGGATTTCAGCTGGACCTGGGAGATCTCACAGGGCTGCTCTATCCTGATGGTACCTTGCTTGCATTGGCAGCGTGTACCTCAGGCAGGTGTCTGTGTGTGCGCAGAATCCGGAGCTAGAGTCTAGAAGTGTTGCTTGCTGTGGGTGAGCACACACATTGGGACTGACTCTTCTTTGTCATGAGATGGAGCTAGCTGGATTCCTCTCTGAATATGAGTCCCTCATTCTGGTGGTGACTCCTTCACAAACTGACCGAATCCATTCAACATGTTTGCCCTTCTGGACCAACTGCTAAACATCTTGTGCAGATGACTTTCAGCCTGAGCCAGACTGTTGGTATTTGTTGTTGCTGATGTATAGTCAGTCATCTAAAACATGCACTGTTTTATTCCGGGCTCCCTGATTAGATGACAGACTCTAACTGGGAGAATAGTGATGTGTTTTCCAGGGGGAAGATTTATGTTTAAAATAACCGTGTATTTTCAGGAGTGTGCCAGAGTCATCACCAGGACACTCAAATAAAAAAAATATGGCCAGTGTCAGGATACACATCCCTCTTTGGGCGAGGGAGAGCTCTTGCACCACTTTGTCATGATACACTTGGAAAGGTGGCCTGCTTTATGATGCAAGATGAAGGCCTGCTGGGGCGTCTACCTTGTACCGGGTACTGGGAGCATGAGATACCTGAGCTACAACTGCCATGAGGCACCACATCAGTATTTTAGAGTCCAAGCATTTCTATTTTGAGGCATTTAACCTTTTTTCCATGAGAATTCAAAGTATTCTGAAGCATTTGCACCAAACTGCCCCCATCCCCCCAAAACATTTGTATCCAAAATAGTTGTGATGGAAAACTTCTGACTAGCTGTTCTCTGGTCAGCTTCCTCAACCCCCCTGGTTTTGCCTGCTGGACCTTGGCACTAACAGGTCTGCCAGGCACTTCTCCCTTTGTGAGGCTGTCACGGGAAGAGCCTGACACCACCTCACCTTCCAGATGGAGCAGGAGGTTGTGGAGAAGCGCTGAGGGTGCAGTGTGTGGGCACAGATGCACAGGAGTCATGAGGGTGTACTGAAGTGTTTTGATCCTGGTGGGTCAGGATTCCCTCAGAAGGGTCCCGTCTCTACCTATGTGAGGTCAGGAGAATTAAAGCCTTCCTTGGCTAAAAAAATTGAAAAAGAATGGTTGAATGAGAGGGAAAAAACATTACCTTTATTTGTTAACCCTCTCCCCCTGGCCTGAACCTACTGCCTCCACATCCTCACAGTAAAATGCACAAACCTCTCGAGTGAGGGGCTCTCTGACACATTGGAACAAAAGTCCCAGCCTTCACCTGCTACATGCTTTTATATTTATTGATTCACACATGAATAGATGAGTCTTAAGATCTCGGGCTCCATCACTGATGAGCTGGTTGTATGGCCTTTGGCAAGGCACTTAACTTCCCTGCCTTGGTTTCCAGGTGTAAATTAGAGATCTTGTTAACTTGTTGGATGTAGTGTCCCCTGGGTTCACACATAGCTGTATGATTGTTAAACATCCTCCTGTCTCCTGTGCACTTACATGATACATCTGTTCAGTCTCCTGTCTGTTAGTGGGGTCTTGGGGCTCCATGTATTGCTTAGGTCAAGTATTCTTGGGCAGCCTTATTAACTCGCTGACACTAGAAGGGATGCTCTGGGAGTGGTGGGATCCAGAGTCTGACATCAGTTCCATCACTGCTTTGCCTGTCCAGAGCTGAGCCTGGGGCCTGGCACTTCCCCAGCTACTGCTAATGAGAGCTCTCTGGCTGCAGCACTCTGTCCTTCTCTGTCTCCAGCCTGTCCCCTTTCCTAATGGGAGTGGGCTCTCCCAGGTACTGGGGTTCCCAGCTCTCCTCCTCTCCCTGACTGCAGCCTTTCAGGGGAATGCTGTGCGACTGGGTTGCGTGGAGAACCCCAACCTAGATCTCTAGCCACTCAAGCAGCCATGCTTTTACTGATGTGTATGCGTGGCAAGTCCTGAGGGAGTGGTATGGATGCTTCCCCTGGAGTGGTAGGGCCTCAAAGAGCCTAAATTCCTCTGCATGTTGCTTCCCTGTGCTCCAGACCAAGAGGTTGATGCTGAGGCTGAAGACCAGGCCCTGGCAGGACAGGGGAGCTTTAAGCTGGAGGGCTCCTGGCTCAAGCTACGCCAGTTCCACGGGCTGATAGTCAAGCGCTTCCACTGTGCCAAACGCAACACCAAGGCCCTTTTCTCGCAGATCCTGCTGCCCGCCTTCTTCGTCTGTGTGGCCATGACTGTGGCACTCTCTGTGCCTGAAATAGGTGCGTATGGGTGCTGATGTCAGGCCTTCCCTAGCCTGCTTTCTCCAGTACACCCAGAGCCGACCCAAGCAGGGTGCAAGGCCCCACCACCACCCTGATCCCACGCGCTCCAAATCTGAAAAAGCTGCCACAGCCATCAGCAACACAGGGGAAGGGAGGTGGATAGCGAGTGGCTGGATGTGGCCGGATGCGGCCACTCTGCCCAGCTCTGCAGGCCCCCCCAAAGCGTGGGGCCCAGGCCAGTCACCCTGGTTTCCTCCCCCCCCGGGACGGCCCCAAGTATACCTACCTGCTAAGGTGGTGAAGTGCTCCTGGGACGAGGGTTATAGTCAAGCCTTGGCTGTCTTATACCTCCCCGCAGACCTGGGCTCCACAATCCTAGAGTTTCCAGCCTTTACCTTTGAAGGTGCCCATGGAAATGTGATCAATAGTGTTTGACATGTCTGAGCCAGAGATGGTGGCTCTTGGAGGTATAATCCTCCCCAGCCATCTCATGCACAGGCTGTAGGATGCCCCTTTCCCAAGATACCCCAGGTTGGCAGCTGTCTGCAGCAGGGTGACTATGTTCTACTTGGGGTGGGAGGGCTGGAAACAGGCTCTTTGAATCAGATGCAATACATGAACCCTGTGGTGAGATGGGATCCACCTGTACTGTGCAGCATGTGGGGGCTGTTTTATAAACTGCGATTCTAAGTCAATTGGCCCTGCCTGTGAAACCCCATCCTGCAGCCTTCCCCTTTTGTGTTCGCCCCCTAGCAACCCATCACAGCACACTCAGGCACGTCCACTCCAGCCTGCTTTGGACAGTAGCATCCTCCTGCGGCTGGTGGGTTCTGGGCTCCATTGGTGAAAAACTGGGGCTTGGCTGGAGCCATCAGCCCCTCTCCATCAACTTGGTGCCAAGGTCATTCTCCAGCCCAGAACAGTCTCATCTCGGCTCTTGCTCCCCTTGGAGCATCTGGCCTGGGCTGTGGGTGCCTTTGTGCCAGGGGCTGCAGTTGCCCTGCAGCTTTCCAAGCAGCCCTTGGGTGTTATGGCAGAAGTTGCCCAGCAATTTTGAAAAGTGGGAGAGGAGGACTCAGCTGGTGGGCCTGCCAGTCCCCCAGGCCATTTCTCTGGGTCCCCAGGGCTGGCATCCAGACCCAGAATAGGCAGGTATGGCAGAGCCCAGTGGCCACCATCATGAGGGAAGTCCTTCAGCAGCATCTCTCCTTGTCTCTCAGGTGACCTGCCCCCTCTGATCCTCTCACCGTCTCAGTATCACAACTACACCCAGCCCAAGGGCAATTTCATCCCTTATGCCAATGAGGAGCGACGCGAGTACCGGTGAGAAGCTGCCGCCACTGGCCTGGGAGATGTCCCGGGCTGCCTTCTTTCTCCTTCCCTCTTCACCAGCAAGGGATTAGGATTGCAGGGCACACCCCTGTGAATCTTCTCACAGGACCTCGTGTCATGCTGAGGGAAATGCTGCCATGTGGGATTTTGCAGTCTCAGGCAGAGGCTCAGGAGGGCAGTCAGGCTGCTGCTCTCTGAGCAGGGTCATTCCTCTGAGTCTGGCACTGGGGAAAGGCTCCAGGCTGGAGCTCAGCCTCATCTGCTGTCTTCTCCATGGCACAGCTTGACACCTAGACAGGTAACGGGCTTGAGGGCGGTGCGTGAGACCAGAAGCTCATTTCGTACCAGTTATGGTCAGCCAACACCTGTCAGAGATTATAGGCTCAGGCTAGATTTGAGACTGTGTCCAGCAAGCAAGTCTCCCTAGTCCTTGTTAGTTCCCTGAGCCACCCAGTCCCCTTCAGCCTCCACGCCAGGTTGCCAGATCTAACCAAGCCATGAGGGTCCCTCAAGCCGTAGGAGCTCAGCCACTCCTTTAGAGCCTGGCCTAGCAAGCCCATGTTGCTGCTACATAAGCAATAGGGACTCTTGGGCCTATGCTAAGGAGTCCCCTGCACACTGAGCCCTTCTCACCCACTTTCCCTCTTTGCAGCATAAAGCTGTCTCCTGATGCCAGCCCTCAGCTGCTCGTCAACACCTTCCACCTGCCCTCAGGGGTGGGGGCCACCTGCGTGCTGAAGACAGCCTTCAACAGCACCCTAGACCAGCTGGTGCAGACCTTGAACCTCAACAGCAATGAGTCCAAGATGCTGGCAGCCAAGTACTTTGATGCCATGTGTGTTGACTCCTTCACCCAGGGCCTGCCGCTCTCCAACTTTGTGCCGCCACCTCCATCCCCTGCCCCGTCTGACTACCCTGTCTCCATGGACGAGGTCTTGCTGCATGCCTGGAACTCCACCACCTACCCCTCCACTGTCAAAGGTAATGCCTTGCATGGTGACCAGAGTGTAGGAAACAAACAACCCCTGGCCTCATGTCACACGGTGCTGCCTGATTTGGAACTTGGGTGGCTGGCACTGCCCACTGGGCCTAAAGGATTGCACACCCTACTGCATCTAGGAAGGGCTTGTCTGGGATTTTCCTATCACACCTTTCAGGGAGGAAGATCTCTGTTGGCATTGCAGAGTTTAGAAACAAAGGAATGACAAAAGTCAGCTTGGAGTTCCTTCCAGCCCAGTGTCATGTATCTGACAGCTGCCAAAACCAGCTGCCTTAAAGGAATGTGTAAGAAGCCCGTAGTAACAGATATGGGATAAATGACCCCCCCCAACTCTCTCTGTGTCTCCAGTATTTCGAGCATGTCTGGAAGCCTGGCGTTTACTATTCCTCTGCCCCTGCCCTGGGCAGAAGCGAGTGCTAGGATCATAATACCCCAGCCAGATACCTATCCAACCTCTCTTGAAGATAGGGGAGAGCAGCACCTCCCTTGGGAGCCCATTCCAGAGCCTAGCAGCCCTAACTAAAGTAAATCCACAAGTCAATCATCTTGGTCACTGAGTGCTGTCAGACATATGATCTTGATCAATCTCCTCTCCCGTCTCTAACCCCTTCTGATTCATTTGGACCTTGTAGTATCTTTAAGAAGATAAATAATGAAGGAGCCTCAGATGATAGAGCTATGCATCTCCAAAGAACCTGTGAGAGCTAATCCTCAGGTGTCTGCATCCAGGTGGACTCTGAGCGCTGGCAAGGTCACAAGGATGCTTTCTCCTTGCATGACTCTGTCCTTGTCTCAGCGCTCAAATTGTTTCCCCCTTCCCAGAAACAACAGCAGCCATGGCCAAAGTTAATGGGCAGTACTGAAGTGTCCCTGCCTTTCACCATGCAGAGGGGACTTAGAGCTGCTTTTCTTCTCTTGTCCCTTCAGAGACCATCACCTCAGCACCATCCTTGCCCCGCATCGTCCATGAGCCGATTAAGTGCACTTGCTCCATGCAGGGGACGGGCTTCTCCTGCCCCAGTGGGGTGGGAGGCCACCCGCCCCAGATGAAGGTTGTGACAGGGGACATCCTAGCTGATATCACCGGGCGCAACGTTTCAGAGTACCTGCTGTACACCTCGGACCGCTTCCGACTGCACAGGTGAGAGCATGGGCTAGCTCTGCTGCTGCCTGGCCCTGCCAGAGCTTTTTTTGGAAGAGATGGGTGGTTGGGCACTGAAGTGAAGCCACGGGGGTAATGGATTTCTGGCAGCAAACCACTTGAGGTGGCCTGGAGGCATCACGGGGACTTGGGAGAGCTGCACAGTTGATCATAGAGTTGGAAGGAGTTCCCTCAGGAGGCTACATGCCTCTACAGCTGAATGCAAGGGCTTTCCTGCTGGCCTGCTGAGGAGATGGGGATCATGTTGACTCCTGCTCCATCATCCAGGAAGAGCTGCTCAGCAAATGCTAGGCCCAGTGCAGCATGGACTAGCAGCAGTGACAGCGTTCCTTGTGGTGAAGGCAATGGCTCTCAAGCCTGCTGTGGTAGCAGGACAGGTGAGGGCAGAATTCCCTTGCTTCTGCTCAGAAGTGTGTTTGCTGTCACATCTGACAGGAAGAGGGTCCCAGGGTAGCATCTGCCAGGCAAGGCCCTTCAGAGGAGAACAGATCTGGGGTCTCTCTCCCCACAAAGCCTGGCATTTCAAGGGCACCTCCAAGCTGCTTGTGTAGCGAAGGTGGTTGCAGCCTCTCCTCTTGTGTCCCCTTCTCCCACAGGTATGGGGCGCTCACCTTTGGCAATGTCCAGAAATCCATCCCAGCATCCTTTGGGGTCAAGGCTCCTCCCACGGTGCGGAAGATTGCGGTCAGGAGAACAGCCCAGGTAGGCAAGACCTGAGCATGTCTTGTCTGATGGAAGAGAGGAGGTTTTTTCCATGTCCTTTCCCTGGCCCCTTTTACCACTCACTCTTTCCCCTCCTACTTTCCTGGGATTTGTCAAAGGGACTCCAGAGCAAGGGGGTGGATTTCACTTGCAGTAAATTAATGTCTCCATGTGCTCCTGAGTGAGAACGGCTCTTGTTCAGGAACCTCATGGGGAGCCTGCTGGCCCTGACAGTTGGTAGCAGGGAGCTACCTTCACCAAAATGAGAAAACTGGCTATGCGCTCCCTGCTCTGGGCAGGTGCGGAGGCTTTTGGTCTCCAGGGTGTCTGTAAAGCTTTGTAGCAGCACTTGGCCAGCTTGCTGCCATTCATGGATGGGCACCGTTGCCAGAGCAGTGGGTGACTGCCTAACGAGCAGCAGTCCCTTGATTCTGGGGTCTTTCTCCCATACTAGCTCCTAGGACTGGAGGCAAGGGGGCAGGAAGATGTGTGGTGGGAGGGGGGTGTTCCTGCCTGCAACAAGAGAGTGAGTCCTCAGCTACAATACAAGAGCAACTTCCCTGCCTCAGTGGGGCACCAGTTGGCAGCAGATTTTGAAGGAGAGGGCAGGGATGTGGCAGTCCCCAGGGGGCCTGTGCTTTCTCTGTCAGACTTGTCTGGGGCCATCTCTTCTCACTCAAGCCCCTCTGCTTTCCTCCCGTCACTGACCCCTGTTGGGGTTTACAAGCCTGAACCCATCTCTCTGCTCTGCCTTTGCAGGTCTTCTACAACAACAAGGGCTACCACAGCATGCCCACCTACCTCAATGCGCTGAACAACGCCATCCTGCGCGCCAACTTGCCCAAAAGCAGGGGAAATCCAGCTGCCTATGGTGAGAGGGCAGGCGTGCGGGTGACCACAGCATGCACAGAGGAGAGATGCATTGGGGACCGACCCCTTCCTGCTTTTAGGGAACAGCCCAGATGAATGGGGGAAGAAACGTCCCCGGTGGGCAAGCTAGTGCCTGACTCCTTTGTGATGGGGGATTAAGAGAAGGCCCAGCCTGGTCAAGCTGCTGCTTTGGCTTTGGAAATACTTGTGAGAGCCCCAGGGGTCACAGCAGGCGGTAGGTGCCAGGATTTTCAGTGGCAGGAGCTGGAGTAAGCCCTAAGTGGCTCTGGACAAGTCCCTCTGTGCTGAAGCTTATACCACTATGAAACGGCAAGAACGGAGGCCCTGATGGGGTTCAGATATGGTTTATTAGTTAACATCTGAAGTTCTGTGAGCTTCTCTGAGTAGAGGTACAGGAGGAGGATTATTCCTGGTGACAGGACTCCCTCTGCTGTGCAGCAGGGAAGGAAACTTCTTGCTCTTCCTCAGGCTAGGCACCAGGGCCTGCTGTTCTCAGCCAGCCTGTCTGAGGCTGAGGGAGTGAAGGGCTGCTGTTCTGCTTTCACATAATCTGCGTTCCCTTTCCTGTTTTGCTGTAGGTATCACAGTAACCAATCACCCCATGAACAAGACCAGCGCCAGCCTCTCCCTGGATTACCTGTACGTACCAGCAGGGTATGGTGTTTGTCATACAAAGGGAAGAAGACAGGGTGGCCGTGGCTATAGGACCCCACAAGGCAGGAGCAGTGCCAGCCCCTGCCACCCCTGACAGGGGCTGTGTGGTGAACAGTGGGAAGCAAAGGAGGAAACTGCAAAATGGGCTGTCTGTTTTGTAACAGAGAAGCAGGCTTAGGCAGGGCCATAGGCAGCTGCCTTTTAGAAAGGCCACCATTGGCATTGGAGGCCTAGTTGGGAAGCAACCAAAAAACGTCATTCATGGGGGCTATCTTGGGAGCGTGAGTCACTTTTCTGAAGAACTTGGAATTTTGCCATTTCCCCTGCGTATGGCATGTCTCTGCTTAGATTGGCATGTGCTGCGTCCCCACTGGGGTGCCTGGCAGTGGTGGCCACCCTGTCTCTGGGCGAGTTGCCCCTGCCCATTCACCGAAGATGACAAACTGTTTTCCTCCTCCTTGCTCCTGTTTCTGCTGCTTTTCCCTCACTGTAGCCTGCAAGGCACAGATGTGGTCATTGCCATCTTCATCATTGTGGCCATGTCCTTCGTGCCAGCCAGCTTTGTGGTGTTCCTAGTGGCTGAGAAGGCTACCAAAGCCAAGCACCTGCAGTTCGTGAGTGGCTGCGACCCAGTGATCTATTGGCTGGCCAACTATGTCTGGGATATGGTAAGAGCAGACAAGGTGTTTCAGAGCAGTTGTGCCCACCCAAGTTGACCCATACAGTGAAGGAGTTGGCCCGTGGGTGCTATGTGCACTGGGCATGCCACTGAGGACCATCAAGCGAGAGACATCCATGCCCCCCCAGATGTGGTGGGCCAGTCCCCTGAAGGCTCTTCACCCCCAGTAAACTCCTTCCTCAGCAGACTCTTCCAGAACTGAGCCATTTTCCCCACCCTTCTGCTAGTTCCCAATGCCCATGGAAAGTCTTTGAGCTATTTCCCTCCTACCCATCCTGCAAAGGTTGCTGCACTTTTGGCTAGGACCTCAGCCTATCTGCAGAGTTCTCTGACTGTATGACACTGCTTTCCCTCGCCTGTTGGCTGTCTGACAGTACTTTGCTGCCACTGTGCCTCCTATTAGCATAGGAGCTGCTGGGCATTGTTCCTGGGGAATGCACACTTGGACTTGGTGGGGTTACTGGGGTGGCTTGGCTGTGTGTCTCTGACCCATGTGGGTCTTTGGCACGCAGGGGCCATGTGGAATGCAGTAGGTTTGGTATTTGAGGTTATCATCCCATCCCGGATCCTGAGGGAATAATTGTTCGGCCCTTCCCTTTGGCCTGGTTTCGTATCTCTGAAGCGAGGGACGTGGACTGGGACAATGCATGTCCTGCACCATGAAGACTTCAGCAGGAAATGGACCCATCTTGGTCTCCTGAAAAGCCCCACCAAAAGGGGCTCTTGTGAACTAACAATGAGATGTTGAGGCACCAGTTCTAGTGTAAACACTACAGCACTGCTAGGAAAGGACTCAGACTGTCCATCTTGAGTCTCTCTGTCTAGGTACTGTGCCTATGTGGCATCTGCTGCAGTGTTGAGCACCAACCAGGTGTTTGAAGAGGCAATATAGCAGTCTGTGTCATGCCCATGGCTGTTCCAGCCTGTAGGAGAAATAGCTCCAATAGAGCTATGGCACAAGACCTGACCTGTTGAGGGAAAGCGAATTTGGGTCCTAGCCATGGTGGGGTCTGGGGTTCCTTCTCCCCCTTGTGGTAAGCTCCGCTGGCCAGGTCAGCCATGGTGCCTCCTGCACCACATTTGTTTTCTCCTGAAAGGCAGTCTGGGCTCAGCTCCCACCACCAATTTAACTCATTTCCCTTGTTTCTTTTCCAGCTGAACTATCTGGTGCCGGCCACCTGCTGCATCATCATCCTCTTTGTGTTCGACCTTCCGGCATACACCTCTTCCACCAACTTCCCGGCCGTCCTCTCGCTTTTCCTGCTCTATGGGTATGTCCACAAGGCTGGTGTTAACTATAAATGCTGTTGTATACAGGAACTAGTCTTCTGCCTTTAGTTTTGCTTCCTCTCATGTGATAAATCTAGGATTCCCCACCCCTCTCTCAGCCTCTCTTGCCCTGTAACACTTCAGCACAGACGGTCTCTACCTTGTCCTATTACAGGCTAGTGTTCTACCTTATTACTTCTGTTCTCACACAAGACACTCCTGTTTCTGCAAAGGGATGAAGGATGCATTGTAGCTAGAACATGGATCTTAGCACAGCCAAGCCTGTGAGGGCTCCTGTTTGAGTTACATGGACCATAGTGCTCAGAGATGGCTCTCAGCTTGAGAGCTTGGACCATGTGTGGACAGGGATCTCAGCTTCTGGTGCAGGCTGGCATAAGTTGAGACCTGCTCTGGTGTGGATTGCCACAGAATCTCTCTATATCAGTGACTACCAAGGTCTAATCCAGATCTTGTGGCCCGTCCCTCTGCAGCTCACACTGAAGTCCGTGGGAGAACTGGGTGCTCAGTACCCACCAAAATTGGGCTCATGGGGTCTCAGGGTTGGTGCCCAGAAAGGGAAGTCACTTCTGAAAATGTGTGTCTTGGTGTCTGGGCATCTAATCTGTCAGAGCAGCCCTGTCTGCAATGGGTCACTGCACTGCTCTGCTGCACAGGGCAGTGTGGCAGGCCAGTCCCATCCATGTCTGCTGCATGCCTTGAGAGCCAAGCTGGGAGATCACCATAGAAGGGCAAGAGGTTTGCTTGTTCTATTTTGTTTGGAGACTCTCCCAGTGCAGCTACTACTGATTCAAGATTAACTCTGGGAGGAGATGTTGGAGGCGTAGCTAAAGCTACTCTACTTATAGTCAGTGAACTAAGAATCCTGGAGTTAGAAATTTGTCATCCGGTAGGTGTAATGGGGACAGATAGAGCATCCAGTAGATCACCTATCTGCATTGAGTATAAGGGAAGACAGGCCTGGTCCCTGTCTGCTGTCTCTGATACGGTTATCCTGGGGTTCTTTTTCCACCAGTTGGTCTATTACCCCCATCATGTACCCAGCCTCCTTCTGGTTTGAGGTGCCCAGCTCAGCTTATGTCTTCTTGATCGTTATTAACCTCTTCATTGGCATCACGGCCACCGTTGCAACCTTCCTACTGCAGCTCTTTGAGCATGACAAGGTAGATGCATGCATGTTCTTGTGGGTCACCAGAAGGGGAGCAGGACATCTGGCCCAATTCCATCTAGCTCAGCCTTGCTCTATTTGGCAAGACCTGCTCTGAGCCGGTGCCTGTGGTATCCAAGCTATCATTGCTAAGCTGCTGGTGGTGATAGCACAGCACCCATGATGCCACAAGAGAAGGGGAGGGATGGAGCACATCGCCACAGCCTGCTCTGTAGGGCTGTAGCATAGGGTGTTTGCTTGCTAGCTCTTTTTAACCTGATTGTGGCACTACTGATCCTCTCTGTGCAGCTCCCCCTCTCCACACAGCACAGCCATTTTTCTTGGGGACATTCCTAGCAGGTGACACACGAGACAGGACCAAGCACATCATCTCCTTTCTTTGCCCCACCTTCAGGACTTGAAGGTCGTTAACAGCTACCTGAAGAGCTGCTTCCTCATCTTCCCTAACTACAACCTGGGCCATGGGCTGATGGAAATGGCATACAACGAATACATCAATGAATACTACGCCAAGATCGGTAAGTCCGCTGTTTGCTCCCTGCCTCAGCATGGCCTGATTTATGATTCATCTAACACACCCTGTTTTATCCATGAAAACCAGACTGGCTGCCATGGGTTTACATCCAAGTGAGGGGCAGACTGTGCCTGGATGCAATGGTCTGAGGCAGGCTGTTGGGCAGGGGCTGTAGTTGTGCTGTAGTTTTATCATGTCTAGCATAATCTAGGGCCTATGTCTGAGGCATCGCCTCGACACAAACCACTAATAACCATAAGAGCCATGTCATCCTGGTCAGTCATGACACTGTCGGCATCAAATTTCCCAGAAAAAAAAAGTCCTAAATTTTCCAACCAAAGCTATGTCCAGGTTACTTCAAGTGCGTCAGAGATGAGGCTGCTTTTAGTGGTCTATTTTAGGACTTTCTAACCAACTTTCCCTCCTGTCACATTGAGGTATCTTTAGCTTGCTCCTAAAAATCTCTTTCCATTTCCTAATCTGCTCCCATCTCTTAATTTTTCAGAGCTGCTGGCTGCTTAATATTTTTGGAACAGAATCAGAATGATCCTCCAAATATACATTTTCATTTACGTTTTTGTCACCTGATTGACAGTGAAAAATTGCATGATGACTTTTTAATGGTGAACGGTTTCATAATTAAAAGGCATTGTTCTTCCCAGATATAGCACTGATGACAATAAATAGCCTCAGACACTCTCTATGGCACTGATTCCAGGAATGAAGTTAAATTGAAAGTGAAATAAAACTCTTTTGCCCAGGCACTGACACATTATTATACTGGGGAAATACTCTTCTGTCTTTTTTTCATGGTCCAGCTCAAGTAACGTATATAATTTTTGATAGACCCTACTTCTTCCCTTGGAGATTTTCCATCTAAGCCTTGAGCTTGTTGTTTCAGAATGTGCTAATAAGGTTTAATTTTCATTGCCTTTTGATGTTCTACTCTAACCTAGTTTTGGATGTAGTAAAATTCTGGGCATTTCAGTTTAGAATATCATTATTCTGTTTAAATATCATTGCTGTGTAAAAGCATTCTTCGCACAACACTAAGAAAAGCCTAAAAATCTTAGCTCGGCTCCTTTAGCCATTTACACGTGGGCATGACTTCTCCTTCTGGCTCACTCTGGCTGTGGTGGCTCCACTCAGTGGAAAAATTGAAGTAAATGCATGTGTCCTGGTCGAATCAGAGTCCAGATTTAAATTGCCTCAAACTCTAACTAGATTGTAAAGGGCATTTTAAATAGCTGTCTGTTGGGAAATTCCTATGATTCATTCCTCTCCTGTACATTTGTAGACTTTTCTTTTTTTCTGTTGTTTGAGCAACTAAGGTAACTTGATTTCCTTTCATGCATTGATATTATGTATTGGTGTCTTATGGGGGAAAAATATGGTTGCTCTCCATCCTCATGCTCCAGGGCTCAGTTTGTCACCAGCTGGAGTCAAGAAGGAATTACCCAACCTTTCACAAAAGTACATTTGTAACAGGCTTGTGCTTTTCCCTGGGTGCAATGTGTGATTGCTGTTGTCTTATATTTGTCTGAACATTTATCCTCTTCACTTCTCTACTCAGGGCAGTTTGATAAAATTAAATCACCCTTTGAGTGGGACATCGTGACCCGTGGCCTGGTCGCCATGACAATTGAAGGCTTTGTTGGTTTCTTCATCACGATTATGTGCCAGTATAACTTCCTTCGGAAACCACAGTGAGTGGCAATGGGGGGTGAGGGGGAGGCACTCCATCCATCACTCCCTGTGGGCTCTCCATGGGGGTCAGACATGGGTGGGCTGTCAAGGGTCCAGGAGAGTTGATTCCCAGCAACTGAAGCTCTGCAGCAATGCAGTGAGGGGCAGATGTCTGGGAATGAGCTTACTGGGCTCCCAGAACAGAAGCTGCACTAGGAGGTTGTTTTGAGAGGCTGGTACCCAGATCAACATGGGCCTTGTATTCAACTCTGGGATCTGTATGTTGCCCTTCAGCAATACGAATTGGAGTGTGGAGCTGACTGGTCTCTGAGCCCTGGTGCCAAACCAGGCCAGGTTCTGCTGATGAGTCGGCCCCATCCAGCCTCTGCAGGATTGCCCTGCCTTGATGTGGCAGGCACAGGCCATGCTTGCTGGTTAGACCAGTGGTCTCCAAACCTTTTTGATCGCATACCCCTATCAGTAAAAAAAAATTTTGAACACGCACCCCCAATATATGTATTAACCGGGCACACGTAAACTGCAATAGGAGTTCTAATATTTTCTTCCCACACCCCAATGGATCATCTTGTGCACCCCCTGGGCTGCACGCACCCCACTTTGGAGACCACTGGGCTAAACCACGAAAGCCTGTGCTGAAGTAACCTCTCAGGCTGGCATAAGCCCCCATGGAGCCTGGCTCCTAGAGCAGGGAGTGCTCTGTCAGGCTGGTGGGTGCTCTGATGCAGGGGAGGAACAGTGGGACTGTGCTACTTTATGCTGGGAGTAACAGCGGGGTGGTGATCCCTGGAGGGCCTTGGAGTACTATGCATCCCTCCTGGGTAGGGTTCTGAGTCTGCACCGTGTTCAGGGAAGTGCCCCACAGTTAAGTTGCAGATAGTGTTTTCCTGGGCTTGTGGGTCTGCAAAACGTGACTGGGCCTCTCCCTGTACATGGGAGGAATGCATCCCACTTTGTAGTCCTGATGCTGCTAGTTCATTGCCCTCTGCCCTTCAGGAGCCAGGAGCACTCTGTGGTTCAGTCTGGGCCCTTGTGTTCCAGTTCTCTTCTTCAGGCTGCATTGCTGGAGCAGCTGTACCATGGACAGCACAGAGGGAGGAGCATCAACATTTAATTCATCTGCGCTGTCCCACCTCTCCACATCTGGGGAAACAGAGACATAGCAAGTGGTCGGGGGGTGGCTGGTGACAGTTGCATAGTAAGCCAGAGCAGAGCTGTCATTTAGGATCTGGAGCTCCTGGCCTTGTGCTTCACCCAGGGGACTAATCTGTCCTGAGCTGGATCCTGGAGATGCCTGATCCTGGCTGTGGACCCCAAAGCCCCTTGTCCAGGAGTGACCCTTTCCCCTCTGGGGGCTATTCCACAGTTCTCCAGTGAGCTCAGCCTCTGGG